GGGATTGCCTGATCTAAGGTAGGAGTTGATGCCAGAAGGCCTGGCATCAGACAGGACTCAGTGATTGATGAGCATTGGGCATGAAGAGGAAAGGGAGAGGCCACAAGATGGGTCGAGACTGGCACGGAGGCTTCCGACTTGGATACCTAGGTAGACGGTGATACTGGTCACTGAGATAAGGAAACCAGGATCACTAGCAGCTGGGAGAGGTGAGTGAGTAGGATGAGTTCATTCTGGACAAGTGCATTTTGACCCACGCTGAGCCCCAGTCCATGCAGTGCCTTTGTGTGCATGAGAAGATGGCATCCCTTCCTTACTGCACTCAGCTCCCGTTTACAATATGGCCATAATATGTTGATTTTATTAAAGCTCAACCTTTGACTGCCATGTGCCAAGAAACTGTCATAACAGACTGGGAGCTCTACAAGGTTTTCTCTGTGAATGGTCCCCCTCAAATGGAACCCCCATTTGAGCACTGCACAACCTGTGTCATGGTGTTTGGTGGCCATGGGCGATGCCTGTAAATTATCCCAGCGGAGATGTCCAAGAGAGTGTTGGTGACAGGGGCCTAGAACTCAAGAAAGAGAGGTAATAAAACAGTGTGTTTTCATAGCCTTTGAAAACAGACTCTTTGAACTTTAATCTTGAGGTCCTTGATCTGGGAACTACGGATGAGGCCACCAGTTTTGTTGCTGGGAAAGGAATCAAGCAAATGAAAGTAGACCCAATCACTCATTGCCAAGTAAGTTTCTCAAAAGCGTCATTTCGCTAGGAATGAACAAATTGAATCTTCTATGGAAAAACATGTGAGTACCCCAGAGAAACGGTTCCATTGTTGGAGGACTTACAATGTCAAAAGAGCAGGACTTTTGTCCTGTCTTTATGGTCCACAGCAGAGATTGTCCATGTCATCCTGCAATCTGTGGGCCCAGTCTCAGGAGTTTGTCCAGTTTCATGGTGTTCTTTTTTGTATCTATTTTTGTTGCCCAAAGCAACAAATGGCCTTAAGTTCTACGTGTCCTTGCAAGACATTCCCGCCTGGGATCCATCTTTGTATCAAGTCCAACATTCCCCCCATTCACCTCGGATGCACCATCTGTGGGTTATCCCAGTGGAAATGTCCAAGAGACATGTCCAGAAATGTTGACCTGTTGACATGGGCATTTTAAGAGTATTTGCAACACAGTAATAAGTTATTTGTTGCACAGCGTGGAGGTCTGGATTAATTTTCTATTGCTGCAGTGATAAATTACCACAAATGGAGCAGCCTAAACTTCACACATCTATTTTCTTCTAGGTCACTTGGGACCTCTGTTCACCAGGTTGAGATCAAGCCATTGGCAGGGCCGGCTCTTTCCCACTGGGGAGGAATCCAGCTCATTCTCATGGCATAGGGTTGTAGCAGAAGTCCCCATTTCCTTGCTGGCTGCTCTCAGCTTTAGAGGCTGTCCTCATTCCTTCTCGTGCTTTCCGTGTGGCTCCCCTCCTGCAATGGTGGGCCAGGCTGGGGCTGCGGGCCTGAGACGTGGGAGCACTGAGGCAGCAGAACGTGGATGTTCCAGCTCACTAGTTAGACAGAGGTGGGACTCCCCCCTGCCCTTCACCTTTTGTCCTGCTCAGTCCCTCTATGGATTGGATGCAGCCCACCCAGTCAAAGGCCCAATCTCTTCCAGAAACATCCTCCAAAGGACTTATCCCCAAATCATGTGTAACTAGGTATCTGAGTACCCTGTGACCCAGTGAAGGTGACATGTGAAATTAAGCATCACAAGGGAGAAAGGCAGATGTCTGAGTTCAAATCAGTAAGCCCCAGAATTCTGAATTGTATGAACTAAGAAAATGGAAAATACGGATAAAAACCAGACCAAAACACATAGCCCCACCCCACCGAATAACTCATCGTTGCTAAGGATTGTATACATCCGTTCCAGCTCCCAGAGCAAAGGGTCAAGTCTTGGCTTGACCTGTTGATCATGCAGTTGGGGGGTAATCTGTTCATTCTGAACACTACCCCATGGGGCTCAAGCAGGTGGGCACAAAGGCACCAGGTGTCAGCGAGGCCTTGGGAGGCCCTCCAGCCCCGGGAGGCCTAGGGTGCAGGTGGGCTGGCTGGCACAGCAGCACTGCTTCTTCAAGACCTTTAGCAGAGGGTTTTAAGAATGTTTTGAGTGTTAGACATTTCCAGATGCTAAAGCTATCCACATTCAAATGTTAAGCTAGGGACTCTCCAATTCTCCTCCCTACTCTGAAGCAGCAAGGATAGTTGGCTTGGTGAAACTAGGCAGGAGTTTGAAGACAGTAAACATTGAGGGGTGGGAATATGTCTATTTTGGGACAAGAGAGATATTCCAGATGCTTTACTGGAGAGCATTCTGAGTCCTTTGGTGAGGCGGCAGAGTCTAGAGCCCACGGCACCCGGGCAGTTTTGGGCAAGTGACTCCTCTGTGCTGTTTCCTCCTCGCTAGGCAAGAGGGAACAACAATACAGGTAATCATAGGGTTGTCATGGCAATCAAGTGAATTTTAACACATGAAAAGCACAGTGCCTGGTACCGCACAAGCGCAAATGTAAGCTATTTACGACAACTATAAAAACTTGTCACTCACCACCAGAGATGACTCCTTTTTAACGCTGATGCTGATGGGTGATGCTGGGGTCCTGAACGGACCCAAGTAGCCAGCTTTGCACCCATCCCCTGATGCTGGGACTGTTGGCTACTAATGGCTCCCAGGCACCCCTTTTGTGGAGGTGCACCCTCAGCTAAAGGGAGCCATCTTGTCCAGAAGCCTGTCTTTGCTGTGAAGGAAGCTGTCCCTGGACAAACATCAATGCATAGTGGGGAGAGTGGGTTTGGGATGCAAAATTGCCAAAAAAAAAAAAAAATCCAAAATCTAAGATGTCTTTGAATTTCTTATCATTGCCAGAGCAGTATTATTTTGGAAGAACCTGATCACTGCAGTATTTTTAATAGAAACAGGTAGAAATTTACACGCTCACTCACATGAGCACCAGAGTGCTTGATGCGTTGCAGACACGGTCTCAGGCCCCACGGCCCCACGGAGATGACTTGTTTTCAACTGGGCAGAAATGGAGCTTCAGGAAATCCAGGGGACTTGGCTCAAGAACCGGCACGACCCGGAGGGAAGCGTGACCCGGCCGCTCTCGACTGCAGCGTCAGGAACAGTTGTTCTTCTTGGAACAACTGGTGTAGTTTTGATCTTAAGGACACTGTGAGCTATGAAATCCGCTCCATCAGCTGTGCCTGGCTGTAACCCTCCAAGATAAGTTGAGGGCACAGTTCCAGTAGTGGGGTCCACCTAAGGACCTCAACCACGCTTGCTCCTTCTGCTTTCCAGTTTCCCTGAATAACAGGTTTATCTGGTTTGGATTTTTTTAGTTGCCTGAAATATTTTTTTTTAAAACAATGCTGTCTATTTGCCATCTAGGCGCAGAGCTTGAAGCTCAGAGTCTCTTGTTTTTCTCAGTGGGAATAATTTTCCAAATTGCTCGAACTCAGTCCTAGCACAGAGGCTCTGGCCCCTGCCAGAGATGGACTGCACAGGTGGCATTCCATGATTCAAATTGCAGTTCAAGTCGGGCAGAGTTAGATGACCTCATCATGACGGCCATCGGTGTGGAATGCTGGGAGATGGGCGTCCGCCCCATCCTACGCTTTTCCTGTGACGAGAGGTTTGGTCTCTACTGGCCAGCAGCACTGTGAGCCACCACTACCCCCTCTCAAACATTCCCTAAAGGAAAGATGATTTGCAGTGATGATGAAACCTAGCAGATTCTATCAGTCAGGGCCAATCAGGAGACAGAAATCAGTCGTTTGGACAGGGACAAGTGGACAGGAGAACTATGAAGGCAACGGGGGCGATGAGTCTGATAAGGAGACTGACGAATGTAAGACTCGCAGGTCCAGGAAGCGGCCGCCAGTCCGGGGCGCCAACCCTGCCGCAGGGCCTGGGAGCCACCGGTGTCCTCGGCATGGGCCAGGTATAGAACAACTCCCCTCGCGGGAGCCTCACACCAGAGAAACAAGCTCATCGTGGTGCTTCCATAGGTGTGACTACTCTGGAAGCAGGGGAAGGCCGGCAGCGGGGCAGGTCACCGCTGCTGAAGCGTGTCCTACTGAATCCTGAGGGCAGGGGACCCCCACAACACTGAGGGCCGCATGGGGAGTGCCAGGGTCAGCTGCAAGGCAGAGGGATTGGTGGTCTCTGAGGGGAAGGATGGATGAGGGGGCACAAGGCTATCACCGGCTCCTCCCTGTAGCTGCGCCGAGAGGATTTACTGTTCAACTTGGCAGGCCCCCAGAATTCCAGCCGGAGACCTCTTCTCCTCTCTGGCAGCTGCTCTTGCACACAAACCACTATTTTCATCCCTCAGGGCATCCACCCAGTTTACAATTTGCCAAATGACACTCAGGGGAGCCAAGTCACTGCCGTGTCAGCAGTCTTTCTGGCTCTGCCAGGCGGGGAGACCCCAGCCCCGGGATTTCCAGGCCTTATTGAAAGAGCAAGACCCGCTTCCTTGGGAAACCTCTGCCATGACAGGTATGAAGGCCCATTCTCCACGGAGTCCAGGGCTCGGGGACAAGAGCCCAGCGCACCTTCCAGGGAAACACAAGAGATTCCCTCCGTGGACCCAGGTTGCAAGAAGAGCAGCAGCTCCCAGTAGATTTCCATTCCAGGCATTTCTCTCCCCTAAGGAAACCTGACGCTGCCCAGGGAGGGGCCTTTATCCCAATTTCTCTCCCCCGAGGCCCCGCCCCTGCCCTCCTACCTCTGTCTCTTGGGGGACGTCTCACCACCCTGCTCCTGTGACGGCGGCTCCCACACCTGCCCTCTGTGGGGTGGGGTATGCCTGCTGGCCTCGTGTCCCCCCAGGACCTTCCACGTTCCTAGTGCTTCCAAGGGGCAGAGGCTCGGGGCCGGCGTGGGCAGGACCAGCCACGGGCAGGGGCTTCTTTACCACGTTCATCTCTCCCTCTTGAATGACCCGAGCAAAGCACAGACACATCTGCTTTTTATTTTACAGAGTAAGCGGCGAAGGGGTACAAACCACACGCTCAGTGTCTTCTCCTTGTCTAACTTCCGATGCCACCATTTCACCGCCAAGGCGCGCCCCACTCCCACGGCTCCCTGCTCCAGTGAAATCACCACAACATCATCCAACTAACAGTCACGCGCGTCCTCTCGGACCGGGGGAGCACAAGCTCGTGTGATCAGGGTCGTTCACAGCAGAGACGCTGAAGCTAATAAACCTTCCTCCAAGGAACAACAGCTGAAAAATTCCTAAAGAAAACAGACATCCATTTCCTGTCACCACAGAGGGGGGGAACGCGAGGATCTGTGCACCGTGTGCCCCAACTCTCCCTGCCCCCCGGCTTAGGCCTCATCTTCCATATCGCTCACAGCCTCTCCACATAAAGCAAGTAAGCAACTGGGATCCTTCTTATTGACCTTTAGCAAATGCTCCAGGACGTCCACCTTGTTGGTCTCAGCATGAGCCCTGGGGCCCCACAGGAACTCGTAGCGGGCAGGATCACTATTGGGCACCTGCTGGTACTCCAGGTACTGCTCCTGCACCCATGCTTCGGTGAGGAGCACCCTGGGATCCCCAAAGATGAAGTGCTCCACCCCGACAAACACCCCCATCACACTCAGAGCTTCCCACATGCGCTCCTCGGAGGTGCGGTCACCACCCAGGAGGATCACAGCCAGGACGATCACCAGCAGGCCCGTCTTCGGCATGGTATCCTCGGGGCTCATCAGCCCATCGTAGGTGAGGCCCAGGGTGATGACCACGACATAGGAGTCGCCATTGGGCTCTGTTTCCTGTACCTCAAGGCCAAAGACCAGCTGCAGGCACTCGCAGGCCTGGCGGAAGGCCACAGGTAAGTGCTCCTGGTTATCACTGAGGACTTCCCTCAGGATCTCGGCCTGGCTGGTCGGCTCCCTGGAGCGATACTTGAGGAGCAGGAACTCCACCACTTCAGTCATCTTCTCATGCAGTGCTTCCTGCGGAGAGGCCTGGCCTTCTGCATCCCCCTCCTCATGTTGGTTGATGGCACCAGGAGCAGCCACCTCCTCATGCTGGTTGCTGGCACTAGGAGCAGCCCCCTCCTCATCCTGGCTGCTGGCACCAGGAGCAGCCCCCTCCTCATGCTGGCTGCTGGCACTAGGAATAGCCAGGGCTAAAGAGTAAGGATGGGCACTGGAAGGGTTATGGGAAGGATCGGGGTCCCCACCATCAGACTCCTCCTCTGCCATATCCTGGCCCTCTGGAGAGTGGTGGGGGGAGGAGGAGGCAGAGGAAGAGGATGTGGCCATCCCCTCCTCCTCGCCCCAGATCATCTGGAGGAAAGGCTCATCCTCTCTTGGTTCCTGGTGCTCATCATCAAGATTGCACCGATCACACTTGTAATTTGCAGGCATAATGGCACGTGTTGGGAAGTTGGCCTGTGGGACAGAGGAAGGGAGAGGTCTCAGCTGAAAATCACACCCTTGACGGTGCTCACAATGGTGACTTACAAGCTCTTACAAGCACTGAGGGGTGCTCTGGGGCCTCACATGCTGTTTTCCTGGGGGATGTCCCCCAAGAACCTGAAGGAGAAAGTGAGATGGCCCTTTAGGGTGCAGGTGCTACAACTTCAAGGTTCTGGGCTGACTGGGGGGTCAGGAATTATGGGCTCCCTTTTTTTCTGGAGTCACAGGTTCTGTTTGTGCTCACTCAGCGTTCTCACCTTTCCCGTCGCCCCTCGGAGGGCCTGCGGTAAAACCCTCAGAAATGCCCAAATATCTGAGGTAGAACAGAAGCAACAAGGGCCCCACATCTGGCTACACCTGCCCTGGGCCTCCAGAGTCCTGAATGGGGAGAGTGCTGGTGCCTCACCTGGAGCCCCGCCAGGGCCTGGGATCCCTCAGCTGACCTGAGTCGAGACCCTCAGACCAAGGCCCTTCCTTCCTGACCTCGGATCTAGAAGTGAGGAGGGGACCAGCCGGATAGACTTGCCCCACGTTTCCATGGCTGACAAGAAGGGCAGTCCAAATGTCCCTGGACCCCCACTTTGGCCTGGAATTTGAAACACAGTCACTCCTTCCTCATCATCCTCACCTGGACTCTTGGATAACCTGGGACTCTCCTCTCCGGTGACCAGATGTGGCTCCCTCGATGATCTGATGGCGTCCTCTCAGACAAGGTTCTCTCCTCCCTGAGACCTGGAGAGAAACATGAGGAGCAACCACATCCCCATCCCCACTGCACCAGTGATCAGAAAAGGCTGTCAGTGGGGTGGCCCCTCTGTCCTGGGGTGGGGTCCCTTCAGCCCTCATAAATGTCCTCTGCAGGACTCTGCAGGTCCCGGGACTCCTATCCCTGCTCACCAGATGCGGCTCGCTTACTGATGGGGTGTTTTCCTCCAAGAGTATGTAACTCACCTCCCTGAGAGCTGGGAGAAAAATGTGAGCAGGAACCCCACGTGCCTCCCCTGCCCAGGTTATCACAAGACTGACAGCAGGGCCCGAGCCCCATCAGTTCTGCGGTGGACGATTCCCTCAGTCACACCTCCCTCAGGATGACCAGGCTGAATCCACCAGACACCGAGTGGACAAGCAGTCCACTGCCTCCCAGGGCCCGCCCCCTTTGCCCTCCGTCAGGGTCCTCACCGTGCTTCCTGTCAGGACCTGGGCGTCCTTCGGCCAGGTGATGCCTGGCTCCTTCTATAAAGTCCCCAGCCTCAGACCCAATGCTTTGGTCAGGGAACACTACACGGGGTCCTCTGGCCCTGGGGCAGCTCAGGCCTGACAGCAGCGGCGTCTTCTGCGGTGTCTGTCTGTTCTGGAGCCCCCCACCCATCTGCATTCCTGGGACACGCAGTCCTCACTCGGGGTCTCCACCTTGGCGCTCACCAGATCTGAGCCCTCTCTGCGGACCGGAGCTTGCTCCTCACAGACCTGGATGCTGCAGTCAGGACCCCGAGTGCTCACCCCTCCCCCTCCCCGAGGTCTGGCGGAATTGGCAAGCTTCAGAGGGTCCCCGCATTTTTAAGGCGCAGGGTTCCTCGTACTCCTTCAGTCCCGCTGCCACTTCCCACATGACCTCGGCGCTCTCTCTGCTGACCCGTGGCTGCTACCGATCCAAGGTCCCAGTTTCTCTCAGACATGGATGCGGAGGTCAGGGCGCCACGTGGTCGGTTCTCTGCCCCACCGCCCAGGTCTGACCGCCGAGGAGCTTTTGTGGAGGCTCCTCAATTCTAGGGTTCAGGGTCCCTCAGTCTTCTCTCAGGGGTCTCGCCTTGACTCGTGACTGGACCTGGGGTCTCCCTCTGCCGACCCTAGTCCCGGCCCCTTCACCAAAACCCCGCATTTCCCTCAAACTCGGATGCAGACTGGACATCAGGGGGTCCTCCCGCCCTGAGGCCTCCAGGACGGACTCTGTTCTGGGGTCCACTGGATCGAAGTCCTCCATAAAGGCCATCACTTCATTTCTGGCAGGACCTGGGTGGTCCCTCTGCTGACCTGGCGCCCTACTCCTTATAACAACTCCCCAGTTTCTGCCAGACGAGGAGACAAAAGTCAGGACGCCGTGGGTCAGCCCTCCTCCCCCACCCCGGAATCATTTGGAACTCAGGGTCCTCACCTTGCCTCCCAAGAGGACCTGGGCCCTCCCTGTGCCCACCTGCGTCCCTGCTCCTTATACAAAACTCACCCCCCACCCCTTTTTCCTCTCAAGACTCGGCTGTGGTAGTCAGGTCACTACCCGGCAGTCCTCCCGTCCTGGGACCTCCAGGGTTTATTCTGTTCTGGGGTCCACTGCACCTCAGTTCTCCCTCAAGGTTTTCACTTGATTCTGGGTCCTCCCTCTGCCAACCTGAGACTCTGCTCCTTACATTAAGGCCCCAGTTTCTCGCACACACCAATGCGGAAGTCAGGACGCTATGTGGTCCTCCCTCTACCCTCCCCCCGCCCCCACTGTGAAGCATTGGCTTGCTTTTGTGGGGTTCCTTCAGTTCTAGGGTTCAGGGTCCCTCAAGGTCCTTATCTAGCCTCCTCACAGACCTGGGCCTTGCCTTTGCCAACCTGAGACCCCGCTCCTTATATCAAGGCCCCAGTTTCTCGCACACGCCAACACGGAAGTCCGGACTCCATGTAGTCCTCCCTCTGCCCCCCCCCGCCCCCATTCTGAAGCATTGGCGAGCTTTTGTGGGGTTCCTCCAGTTCCAGGGTTCAGATCCTCCTCTTGCCTCCTGACAGACCTGGGCCTTCCCTTTGCCGACCTGAGACCCTGCTCCTTATACAAAGCACCCCAGTTTCTCGCACACGCCAACATGGAAGTCAAGACGCCACGTGGTCCTCCCGCCCCCACCTCCATTCTGAAGCATTGGCGAGCTTTTATGGGGTTCCTCCAGTTCTAGGGTTCAGGGTCCCTCAAGGTCCTCCCCTTGCCTCCTGACAGACCTGGGCCCTCCCCTTGCCGACCTGACACCCTGCTCCTTGTATCAAGGCCCCGGTTTCTCTCACACTCGAACGTGGAAGTCAGGACACCACGCGGTCCTCCCTCCCCCACCCCACCCCGACTTCCGAAACATTGATGAGCTTTTGTGGGGTCCCCTCAGTTCTAAGGCCAGGGTCCCTCAATCCTCTCTCAAGGTCCACACCTTGCCTCCTGACAGGACCTGAGTCCCTGCTCCCCCCCCAAAAATAACCCCTCGCCCCCGGTTTCTCTCAGACTCGGCTGTGGTAGTGGGGAGGCCACGCGCCCTCCCCGCCCTGGGGCCTCCAGGACTGACTCTGCTCCGGGGTCCGGGGCCCCTCAGTAGCATGTCCCTGTCCCACCTCGCTCAGGCGGGACCCGGTTCTCCCTCCGCGGCCCTGAGCCTGCGCCCCTCAAACCGAGGCTGTGACTCCCCAAGTTCCCTGAGGTGGGGGGGTCTCCGGGACCAGCCTGCGGGGTCCCTCAGGGATTTCCCGGGGGGCATCTCTGGGCGCCCTCGGCCCTCCCTCCGAGCCTCACCTCACTCAGGCACGCCCGAGCTGTCCCTCCGCCGACGTGAGTGCGCGCCCCTCAGGCCCAGGCCCTCACCTCAATCTCGAGCGGAAGTCGGTGGACGTCACATCCGGTGCGCGCTTCTGGGGGCCCCCCCGCAAGGGTGTCGTGAGGGGCGGAGATAGATCCCGGGTGGGGGGGTGTCTCTCCATCCCTGTTCTGGCCCTCACCTTGGCTCAGGCAGGGCCGGCCTGGCTCTTGGCACACTTGAGCCTGCACCCCGGAAACCAAGGCTCCAACTCCCCGAGATGCCTGGGGTGAGCTGGGTGCTAACCCTGCCCCCTGTCCGGGTCCCTCGGGAGGTTTCATGGGGGGGGCATCTGGCCTCTTCGTCCTCCCTCCGATCCTCACAGGGGCAGGTCCTGCCTTCGCCCACCTGACCGTGCGCCCCTCAGGCCAGGACCGACTCCCGAGTCCTCTGAGCAGGTGGGGGTGATCCCTCAGACCGCTCGCCCCGGCCCCTCAGAGCCGTTATGGGGCGCAGCTGGGTTCTGTGGGTCCCCTGGGCGGCGGCAGCCCCAGTCCTCACTCCCTCGCCCCCGCAGAGGCTGCTCCCAGGACGGCGCGGGTGGGGCTGCCGGGACGGTGGGCGCCGTCGGAGAGGAGCCCCCACCCCGGGGCTCCTCAGCAGCAGACGCCCCGACTTTGGACGCCTGATGGCCTCGCAGTGATGGTGGCCGAACAGCTGAGCCACGGGGTGGGGGAAGCTGTGCCTCAAGGGGACCCAGAGTGGTGCAGTGTGGGGTGGTCGCTGTGCAGCCTCCATCGCGGGAGCTGCCCTCCCCCATGCCTGTGTGTGCAATCGGTGTGTCGATTGTGCACACTCATGTTTTGCACCAAATAGACACACGAACTGGGGTGCACACCTGGGTGTTTATGTCACCCTCCTCTTGCTGTCCATGAGGATCCCTGCTCTGCCATTCATGCGGTGCTGTCTCCCCTGTAGTCAGCTGCTTGTAGCATATTCCTAGAATAGCTTTGGGGAGGCTAGTGCTCCTCAAGGAGAGGGTCTTGGGTGGTCCTGGCACTGGGGAGTCAGATGCCACCAATGCCCCCCCTTCCGGGCCGGTGTTACCACGGGCTCCTGGCCTGTGAGGTCTGAGGGCCGCCTCACATCTGTGGGTGAAATCTCCTCCTCCCCATCCTGACATCCACCTCCCTGCAGCCCCCGGTTCCCCTCCTGCCCTCAGCTCCCACTCCCCTCCCCACACACAAGCCCCACCAAATGCCTTCAGTCACCCCATGGGCTCTCATGTTGTTTAATTGTTATTCATATGGTGTGTGTAAGACTTCACTTTAAGGGCACTTTTTGGTTCACAGAGAAATGCAGAGAAGCACAGAGATTTCCCATTCACCCTCTCCCCGCACAAATGCACTGCCTCCCCCGTCACCAGCAAATCCCAACAGAATGGCGCTTCTCCTATAGCTAAGGACTCCACCTCCTGACTCCCCGGGCTCCCGCTTGCCATCCTGGTAATCAAGGGTCCTCCGGGCCTGTGAAGCGTGTGTGACGGGTATCCACCCGGGCATCACCCACAGCCATGCCGGTGCTCTCTGGGCTTCTGGGCTCTGCAGATTCATTCCTCCGTCCTCCCCGCTCCTGGCAAGCACTGATCTTTTTACAGTCGCCATAGTTTTGCCTTTTTCAGAACACCATAGAGTTGGGATCATACAGGAAGGAGACTTTCCTATTGGCTCCTTTTACTTAGCAATGTGAAAGTCACTTTCCTCCGTGTCTCTTCTGGCCTCATAGCTCATTTCTTTTAGCCCTGAATTGGCTACTCCACTGTCTGAATGCAGCACGGCTTGGCTCTCCATCCCCCTGCCGAAGTTTATCCATCTTGGTTGCCTCCAAGGTGTGCGACTGGGAGTGAAGCAGCTGCAAATGTCTCTGTATGTATATGAGTTTGCTGTTTGTTTATGTCACATCCAAGGAGCACGACTGCTGAACGGCACGTACGAGTATGTGTAGTTTGTGTGAGAAACTGCCAAACTCTCTTCCAAAGTGGTCATTCAGTTTTGCTTTCCTCCAGCAATGAGTGAGAGTTCTTGCTGCTGCTCCACATCCTTGCCAGCACCTCACGTTGTCAGTGCTTGGAATTTTTGCCTTTCTAGTTGGCGTGTAGTGGCGTCTTGTTGTTAACTGGCAGGTCCCTAGTGACATGTGATATGGGCCATCTGCACATTTACTTGCTCTCTGTACTTTCGTGATGAGTCTTCAGATCTCCGGCCCTCTTTGTAATTGGGGTGTTTTCTTATTACTGAGTTTTAGGAGCTCTTTGTATATCTTGGATGACAGTCTTTCATCAGTTATATATTTGGCCAACATGTTCTTCCAGCCTGTGGCTTGTCTTTTCATTCTCTTAACAATTTGTTTCACATGCTCCTCACCTAGGTTTTATTTCTACAAAGATAAAGGGCACTGTGATCTTATAACCTGCATCCAATGATGAGCTGGTAAAATTTTAATTATGGGTTTGCTGAAGAAACAACCCAAAAGTCCTGATTTATACCATTTGCTGATTTCTGTGGTATAAATACTCCCCTGTGGCCAATTTCAAACTACAGTCCTTTTCTTTCCTTTTTTCTTTTTTCTTTTCTTTTTTTTTTTTTTGAGGTAAAATTATCTTGCAACACTGTGTAGGATTCAGGTGTCCAACCTCTCACCTCAGCAGCTGTCCGTAACTAGTGCGGTACTCCACCAGCTGCCCCCTCTACCTGTCCCCTCTTCCCTTCCCCCGTGGTAGTCACCTTTCTGTTGTCACAGTGGAAGGGTTTCTTTTCGCTTTTGTCAAGCTACATTGTCGACATCACTGGCTTCAGAGCTGGAAGAGACTCGTCCTCAGCAATGAGGGGCCCATGCACGTGAACTCAGCTCTCGGTTGCTTGTGTCTGAGCACCCGAGTAACCCCGTGTCTTTCAAGTTCTCTTCCGGCGTCTGCTGTTCCTCTTGGTTTTCACTAAGGCTTTCTGTTGTTGCTATAATTATTTATTTACTCGTATCCTACAGTGAGCGGTTTGGGTTTTTTTGGGGAAATTATTAGTGAGAATCCTAGAGACCCGGATGCAGGTGTGTTCCTTCAGAGAGCATTTGCATTTGCTTCGGCTGAGCACCTGGGGGCGCCACCACACTGGTGCCGGAGGATTTTTGAACTACCAAGGTGCAGCCCATTTGGGTGGTAGCCCAGAGCCCTGAGGATCGCCACTTTTTTTTTTTTTTTTAATAAGATTTTCCCAGTAGGTTTTATTTTTTTTTAAAGATTTATTTATTTATTTATACAAGCACTGGGTACAGTCAGAAGCGGGGGAGGGTAAGAGAATTCACCAGAGCCAGAGAGGGGAGCAGAGCAGGCAGACTGACGAAGTACACTGCTGAGGGGAGCAGCGGGCGGCAGGAGAGGTCTGAGCGCCATGGGGGACCCTCGCCGGTGGCCGGGGAGCAGCCGGGGATCGAACCAGCGCTTCAGAGGCTGCGGGCAGCTTCGCAACCCACCGCTCAAACGCTGCACCACCGGGGAAGCCCGGGATCGCCACTTCTCAGGGACGTTTTCACCTTCCTCCCCCTCCTCTGCTCCAGGTTAATCTGAATTTCCTCGCAGTCCTCATATTGGGGCTGTGAGAAAATTGAGTTCATCAAGCACGGACTTTCTCAAAATCTCTATGCCTTTGTATTTGTTTCCTCTGGCTGCTTTAACAAGTAGCCACCGAAGCGTCTTATGCCGCCCATCCATGATGCAACGGTGTGCTCCCGGCTTCGCGGGCCTCCTTTGTCCATCTCAGGTCTCCTCTTCCTAGGGCTGCCCCTAGGAGTCTGGAGTTGGGGCTCGTCACTTTCCTCACTCACTTGCATGGGTGCCATCATCCATTCCCTGGGTTGACCCCCACATCTGAGTTTCTATCCCCAACTTCCTTCTGTGGCTTTTGGCCACATCTTGAACCCCTCACCCCCACATTCTGCATGGCCCCAACTGGCACCGGCAATGCCCCCATTTGTTCCTTTGCCGAGAATCGCCCTAACCCAAACCTCAGGATCCTCTGACTTCTTTCTCTCCCCTTCTTTCCAGCGGGTCAAACTCCTACTGATTCTTTTTTGACCTGCATCTCTTCTCATCTGTACTCCAGGCCCAGCCCCCACACTTGCTCAGCTTCCATCACCTCAACTAGCCTGTTCCTGGTCTTGTCACCCTACAACCCACCCTGCATGTGGCGGCCGGAGTGGCTCACGTCCCGCCGCCGAAACTCTCCAGCGGCCCTGACGACATAGAGAAGATGCCAGTTCCTGACGATGAGCCCCAGGGTGCTGCACGAGCGGCCCTGCACCTCTCAGCATGCACCAGACCGAGTTCCGTGCACACGCGGCATCACGTCTGGAGCACTGAGCCCGCTCCACTGCTCACTGCTGTGGGGTCCCTCCTCTGCCTTCTTCCTCCCTTTACCATTGTATGTAGCTGAGAAGTTCAGTTTGCTCCGGAAGTTACAGGAACAGAGTAACACCGGCTGTGCTCTTATGTGGTCCCAATCCCTTATCACATTCGGGGAGCTGATCGTTGTGTGTGCTGGGCGCGCTGCACTGCAGCGCGTGTCTATGCCGCGATTCATCTGCTCCCCCACAGATGGACATGTGCTGCCTGATGTTCTGGCGGCTACAGGCAACTGCTGCCGTGGCCCTCCTCTCACGTGTCTCGGTGCGCACATACAAGGGTGCATGTGCGCCGAGTGGAAGCGCTAGGTCAGACCGTGGTTAGCGGCTCTATTTGACCAAGTAATGCCGACCTCCTCCAAAGGGGTACATGAGACCCCCCCATTGGCCCATGGGGCCTTGTCGAGGCTTGGGGTTGTCAGACTTCAAAGGCTTGTCAGTATGCGGGGTGGGGGGAACATCTCACTGTGGTTTGTACAGCTACCTGGCTGCAGGTGTGACCGAGTTCCTCCTCCACTGACAAAATTCAATTCTGATCACACTCCCAGTACGTTCCTCCCTGACCCGCTACCCAGGCCCCGCAGCCCTCCCCTGCCTCTCACAGCAGGCAGCAACCTACCGGCCTCGTATTAGCTGGACTGTCCTCCCACCAGGCCAGACACTCGCTGAAGGAGGGTGCTGCTTTCCTCATTTGTTTCCAAAACAAAACAAGCTGGCACAGGTCTGGGTCCCAGTGGACGGTGATGGATGAAGCACTGTGCCTTTCCAGAACTTCTGGCTCTGAGCCTTAGTCTCATCTAAAAAATGGAGACATCAAAAAAAGAAGAGGCAGCCTCACCCACCATCTGAAGTGAGCAGGAAGTGAGGTGTGGTAGGCAGTAGAGTGGGTCCCCAAAGATGTCCATGTTTGAATCCCCAAAGCCTACGAATATGTTACCTTACACAGCAAGGTGGCACGCGGGCTACAGGTGGAGTGAGGTCGCCATTTAGCTATCCCTGAGACAGAGAGAGGCGCCTGTGCCTCCGGGTGTGCCCAATATCAGTGCCAGGGTCCTTCACATGCCCGGGGCAGAGGAGTGTGCTAGATTCGAAGTTGCTGACTCACTGGCTTCAGACAGAGGAAGGGCCAGTCAAGGGATGCAGGTGGTCACTAGGAGCTGAAAAAGCAAGAAAAGGATTCTCCCCTAGAGCTTCCAGAAGGAATTCAACAATGTGACACCTTGACTTTAGGCCAATGAGACCCATTTCCACCTTCTGGCCTCCAGAACTGCGAGAGAATAAAATGTGTCGTTAGAAGATACACCACCTGTTTGCAGTGATTTCTTACAGAAGAGAGAGGAAACCAATACCTGAAGCAAATTCCATTTTGTGCCACAAATACTGTATGTGCACAAGTGAGAAGGGCTGTGTTTGAGTTGTAAGGAACCTTCCAGAAGGTGCAGCCCACACCCGCCCTGAGCATATGGACCTGGAGGCCGCCTCCCAGAACCCACCTCCAGAGCATCTGGAGTGAGGAGGACCTCAACCCTCTCATTCACGAAGCAGTTCCAGAGCCCAGTGGGAAGCTGGTCCCCTCCATACCCATCCAGGCTTCTAAGATGGGTTGTGAAATCAAGCCCAGACGTGAGGTGAGTGACTTTCTTTCTGCAGTTTCTGTGAAACGCAGTCCATTTCAGAGGCACGTAAGTATTAACCGCTGGAAATGGGTAAGCCGTGTTCTCAAAGCCATTAGAAAAACTAAGTACTAGGTCTTAATGTTCGAGTCTAAACATTTAGCCACCCCGCATGGTTGAAATACATTATCGCTTCTGCTATTAAAAGAAAATGATTGCAAATAAGGAATAATCTGTATCTAACTGTAAGCCTCGGGACGAAATGAGAATCCTTTGTTTTGCTGATCTTTCATCTTCTAAATAGGCTCAACCAGAAGACTTCCATAATGCCTCAGGGAAGGCATCAGTCTACCAATAGGTGTTGGTCTTCCAGCATCATTCGTTCACTGAGCCTGCGAACCTTAAAAAAAAACAACTCGAGCCAAGATCTATTTCTGCGAAGACGCTACCCTCGCTCTGTAGGTGGCACGCTGCACGTGTCTCTTGGTCCCTCTAGGGTCCCCCTGCCTTGGCTTTCGTGGACACCAACGGCTATGTCTGTCCTCCCACATTTTAAAAATGTTCCCTGTCGATAGTCCTGCCTCTGCCTCCTGCCCCCACAAAGGTTGTCTGGATGGTTGGATCCACAGAGCTGCATTCGGCAGAGGCTGCGGCTGATGAGAAGTCGGCTTCCTTTGAAACCTGTGAGTATGCCTTCCCCAAAAGCATAAGCATAAACTTTGCTGCGTTATCAAAAATAGATCAGAAAGTGCTATGACTATATTTGGAAAAAGACTGTTATATTATCAGAAACATACATGGTTCCAAACTATTTGCAGGGCTGGCCCTGGCAGAGATAATTCTATTTTACTGCACAAGGCCGACCTCCGGCGGGCCAGCGGGGGACGGACAGCGCATTTGTTTATCCCGCCCCTGTGGGTTTTGATGCACTGGGGTCCTGGGCAGGTGGGTGACCCTCTGGAGCAACGACATGCTCCTCAGCTGACAACCAGGGATAAAGGGACAACAGAATGCCCGCCCGCCCCCCCCCCCTGGGAGGTTGAAGTGAGGACAAACACCGCAATGTCCAAGAACTCCGCAAAGCATTTCAAATACTCATCATTTTTAAAAGACACTTATCATTTGCGTCCTACTCTGATTAAGAAGTGGTTAATTTTAGGTTAGAGCTGTAACTATTTCACATTCTTAGGATGCACAGAGTTAAACAATGTCATTCCGAAGTGGTGGTAGTTGAAAAATCAATAAAGTCTCACCTAGAGAGACACACGTGGGGCTTACCCTGCCTGGTCCTCAGCACCTCCGTCAGCCAGCCGCGCGCCTCACTCCCTCGGAGCCACTGCTGCGCCTCCAGGCGGGCGCTGAGGCCCGCGCCCTGCACTTTCACACAACCTACCCCTTTTTTAATAAAGACAGTTGGGACTGGTAAATTCTGCCCTGCATGTCACTGCACGTCATCATCGGCGCATTCGGACACCTACCAGCATGCTGGGGAGAGAGAGAGCACAGGAAGTCAACCTAGGAAAGGTAAGATGGCGTCATGCATGTGAGACAGACGCAGCCACACCCTGGGAAGAGAGTGCTGTGTTTAGTTCAGGTATTTATTACAGCAGGTCTTAGTCATTATTGCCAGGGAAACTTTTTCATGGCATTTCACAAAATCCTTTAAACTATTAGTATTCGCCTTTTTTCTTCTTATGGAGTGACACTGTTAATTTATGAAATATTTACAGCGTTTACAAAAAGCAAGAGAATAGCTAATAAAATTTCTTATACATACAAAATTCATACATTATACTACTATATTTGAGATGTCTTATTTGGTAGGTCATTTAAGCTATGACATAAAATAATTTACAAAGATATATTTAATCTCTCTTAATTCATTGAAAACATAACCATATTAACTATAAATAGTCCTTTACAAATCATTGTAAAACATGTGGTTTTAACTCTAGCCTTAACTTTTACAAATATACTTACTAAATGAATTAGTTCAGATATCAAATAGAACTGTGCATCTGGAGTTTTATTTACTACTACAAAACAAACAAACAAACAAACAACAAAACATGAAAAAGCAAACTGCCGGGTACTTCAAGTAAAAATTTATAGAACCAGTTTTTAAGCACATCTGGAGGGGGCACCCAACACCGCTTAGAGTGAAACGCAAAAAACACGACACTTCCAAGAACACGCTCCCCAAGCGGACACCTAGGGCTCGTTTCCAGCCCAGACGCTGGGTCCACAGCGCACGTCCTACAGGTCCGCCCTCCACGGCAGAGAAGCTGCTTTGACCAGAGCAATTTGGGGGGATGTCACCTGTGCAGAGAATGTTGCCTGATGCGCCTGACACAGGCTGGTGCTGCACGAGGGGCGACCCCCACCAGGACTATGGTGGCAGGGGAAGCACTAAGAAAATGCAACTGGCGAAGTTAAAAGAAAGCCAAATCCTATTTAACTGGGCCCCATCTTTTTTTTTTTTTTAATATAAAAATATGCTTCTCTTGAAAATAAGGGACAATACTTCATAATCGAAATTCTCACAACAATGGAAAGCTCGTCTGCACAGCCCTTTCTCTTTCAGTCGCTTATTTTAGATTTAAGGTAGTGACAAGCTTGGCGATTGCTTCGACACCTTGCTTTGGAGAATGCCTGGGAAGCTGGGCGCAGTTTGGTTTTGGCAGAGTCAACAGGTCTTTCACATCAGGCTTCACTTTCTATCAATGCAAAGCAACTATTAGGAGCAGCTTGAGGAAAATCCATTTCACAAACACAGATTTTGCCCCGTTCGTTTAAAATAACATCATGCCAATTCAGCCCACAAACCACACACTGCATACCTCATATTTCTAAAGAGGTAAATGAAATTTGAACTTTTGTTTTTCAAAAAACTGCCTTTGAAACGTGTCAGGATTTTCTAAAACCCCATCTTGGCTCCTGTCTTCTGACAGCCATGCAGACACGGCCGTTTTCTTGTAATATGTATTCTAGAAGGCACATATTCAAGAGTTTAAGAGCATGTTAGTTCAAGTTCTACATGGAGGCCAGTCAGGTCATCTACTCTGTGCACAGGGCCAAATGCAGGTGCCTGCCTCACTGGACACCCAGCTCCTCGCTGGGCCAGGCCCCTCTCAGAAGTGGGTCTGCACATGGGGCATCATTTGGGAAGGACTGGAAGGCGATGTGGGGGGTTCGGGGAGCCTGGTGGAGTTGGCCAGCTGCAGTTCCTCCAGCCGCCTCAGGTACTCGTCTCGCAGGGCCAGGAGCTCCACATAGCGCTGCTCCACAGGGTTGGGCTGCTGGGGGAAGCACAAAGCCGTTACTGAGGCCTCCACCCCACCTGCCCAGCTCACATGCACACGGCCTCTCATAAGCCACACTGTGTAAAAGCGCGCACACGTGGAGGAGGCTGCATCCAGCTCTCTGCCACTAAGAAGTAGTGAGTCAAGTGCACAGTGCCTCGCCCTGGCCCCATCTTTTTGAAATGTTAGTGTCCCACACCCAGCCCATCTCCCACATGCCCGGTCCCCAGGCCCACGGCCCTCCGCTTCTTCCGTGAAGATGGAGGCCCATTTTCCTAGGGGTACCCGGAATCAAAAAATGCAGTCTTCAATTTGAGAACGCTTACGCCAGTGGTGGCACGCTCTTAGTGACTCTCACCAATGTGATGGCTTTGAACCCCGTCCCACCCATCCCTTCCCTCTGGAGTGAACGGACCAACACGCAGGTCTGTGCTCTTCAGAGGGTTTTTTTTCTTGGGGGGACCGAGGAAAGGTCCCCTGGGGGGACCTTGCCTTATGTCCTAGTCAAGGACATAAGGTCTCTTAGGCCTCACTAGACATCGTCAAATGGCTCTCAAGGTGGCGCTGTGATGGCTCACTCATGCCTTAGCACCATGTGCTCCCCAGGACGAGGGCAGGCCACAGTCAACGTTTCCCCCTCTCATGACTCTCGCACAGACGCCCCTGGGAGCTTCAGTCGGTGTGCCTGGCTCTGCTCCAGCCACCTCTTCAGGTGTCGTTGCTCACAGAGAGGCATGGCTGGGAGCCATGACCTCGGGGTCAATCCCAGGTCCGCCTCTCACCAGCTATGTGATATAACCTTCTGGGGACCTCCATTTCCCTCTCTGTCAAATGGGAATAGAAGCAGCATGGACCTCAGGGTCGTCATGAGTGAAGCCGGCCACCACGGCCTGTTTTGCTACTCCAGCCTGTGTCAAAGGAGAATGGGGGGCTGGCAGCACCAGGCTGGAGTCACGCAGGAAAAGACCGCGATTCTCCACTGCCCAGCAGGTTCACACTTAACCTGTGTGTGCCAGGATAGAAATGAGAGATAATAATGTGCACAAATCTTAAAATGTTCAGGTCGACAAATCCTGATGTAGGTCCCCAGTGCCGTAATCACCACCAGGCAGGCTATAAGGCAAATAGTCCCCTAGAGCACTCCTTTGCCAGCACAGTCATGTTTTGAAGTCATCAAGGGTCAACTTCTAGAAAGCTTGAGCAATACAGGAAGGCCTTAAGAAAGAAGCTAAAAGTCTGTGGAGGTGCCTTCCTTTAGCACTGGATTTTAGGGTTCACTCTAAATCCAGGATGATCTCATCTTGAGATGAAACTACTGGGTTTCTGCTGGGATTGCTGCTTTCCTTGGAGTTCTGGAAGGTGTACAGGTTTGGAGAGATCTCCTTATTCTACTTTCTCTATAACCCTGTTTTTTTCCTTGCTGGGTGACTTTGCAAAACGTGAGGTTTTCCAGAAACATGCATATGGCATCAGAACAGGCACACTTGCTCAAGCACCTGGCACCCAGCAAACGCTGTGCAGACTGCTCCTTTCCTTTGCCCATTTTTCTCTAGTCAACTGAAGGCTGGACACTGTTCTGGGCGCTCAGGATCCCTGGCGGGACAAAGGAGGTACAAATCCCCGTGTTTATGGCAGTTATCTTCCAGCAGGGGGAGACAGACAGACAACATCACAATCCCGGGAGTTACAGGGGATGCTGGAAGGTGAGGAATTCTGTTAGGGAACAGAGCCGGGTAAGAGGGTCGGGATGGTGGGGTGCAGTCACCAAGAGGTGACTGGGAGCCGAGAGCATAACTGAGTGTCTGGTGTGCCTGGCACCCAGTGCCGGAGAGAGAGCTGTAGGTGAGGAGGCCCGGAGGTCAGAGAGGTAAGGGGTGGGCTAGAGTCAGGCAGTCACGCTGGACAAGGGCAGGTGTCCGGCCCTGGGGCACTGGGAAGGGTACGGTACAACTGGTCAGTCGTGTTTGGAGTCCAAGCCCAGCAGGCTCCTGAGAGAAAGGATGTGGGGAAGTGGGGTGACAGACAGGAGTCAAGGATGACTCTACTAAAAGGATTTGGGGTGTAGCACCAAGTGCTGAAGTGGGGAATGTGGTGGGTGGAGCCAGTTGGGGGAACACTGGGAGTTCTGTCATAGACACGTGATGTTGGGTTTGCCGATCGGTGCGACAGCCTGAGAAGGGCTACTCCCGGCCCTGTGTGCCAATGCTGCCTTCTCTTCCTGCCAGGATTCCCACCTCCGTGCCTGCTCTGGGTTCTGTTCTGTGTCTGACAGGCCTGGACATGCAGCAGGGTAAATGCTTCCTGACACTCGTCCCTGAAATCCCCTTGGCTTTTTAAAAGCTGCCCTCTCTCAGGCGATGACTACTGGGAGCAGTTACTGTGTCACCAAGTGATGATTTGACAAAAAAAAAAGAAATCAGAGGTAAAACAATCACTTTGTACATGACGTGGCTGTATCATTACAAACTCCAGAAAGTAGATGCAAAACTACTAGGAATAAGATGAGTCAGTGAGATCATGGTGCAAAATGTATAGAAGTCATCAGCCTATAGACAGAAAGCATGTAGAGGATGTGCGAGAAGCAAACAGTCTATTTGGGAAGCGCACACCAAGACAAACGAACAGGAATGAAATGGAAAGGCAAGTGGCTTCAGATGCCACACCTTGACAGGTCACTGGGAAAATGACTGTTGAAGCCTGTGCCAGCCACAGCCCAGCCCAGCAGGCGGGCAGTCAGCAAGCCGCGGCGGCTCACAGGATCCAACCGCTTTCCTACCCACATTCCTTCTACCGTTTCTCAGAAGTGGCTTCCACCCCACGCCGGCCAGCCCTTGACACCTGACTGGCCTTGGCTGCCTCCTCAGGCAACACTATGCAGACGTGAATTCGCCCGATGCAGCCCTGCTCACAGCGACGTGGGGTGCCGGGGTCCCCAAAGTATAATGGGAGAGTCACTGACAGGTGAAGGTCCTTTTCGAGGCTATAAGGAGGCTGATACGCTTGCTTTGGCGCGACTGTCTTTCTCATGGTAAATGAAAGCCCAATTTGCTTACTGAGGCTCGCCGAGTGGAAACGCTGGTCTTCCCAGCAGCTCTGCTGCGTGTGTGTGTTGTAGTAGGGTGGTGGCTTTTGCTATTTTTTGTTATTATTTTTCTTTCATTAATTTTTCATTTTCTCACAGTTTGTTCATTTTGGTCCAGCGTTTGATTTCTCCCCTCAGGTGTGGTCCCCGTCAGTCTCCCACCCCCACACCGCCTGTGAACCATCACCATAACCCTCGTGCTCGTCCCACCCCAGTTTTTAACACCCCCTCCCCCGCTGTAAGCCTCAGATCTGGCTTTTGCTTTTAGAAGCACAGGAAGCCTGCCTGCTTTTGAGGTTAGCAGCTCACCACGCAGAAGGGCTGCATATGCTGCTGGACCTTCCACCACCGACAAGGCACCACTGCGTCATGAAAGCCTGAGGCACCCTGTAATGGTTTCCACGCCCACCTGGGCACACAACTCCACAACCACCTGTTAGGTGGCTAAGCATATTGTTCTGGGTCACATTATATATTTTGAAAGTGCTGTGTGACCGGACTGTCATGTTTCTGTATGAAAACACGTTCTACGTGAGCTCTTTAAGGAGTCCACTGCATGTGGCTCACACTGTTACCGCAGCATTTGCCCTGAGCAGAAGGATCATCGCTGATGTTCCTGGGCCTTCTGCCAGCCTGCAGCCCCTCATGGGCAGGGACCACCTGCCCGGCACATGGTAACACTGAGTCTCAGGCAAATGAAAATGCAAAGTGGGGGACGCAGGTTCGTGCTGGACCCTTCATCCCGCTCAGAGACTCTACATAGAGAAGGAATTTACTTTCTTTTGTGAGTCAATTTCAGAGACCATACTCTAGACCATTAACAGTCTCAAGATAAAAACCTCTACCAAGCACATGTGCTCCCAGCTCCTGTGCCCAGTTCCATGGTGCTCTGTGAGAATAAGGGGGACAGTCAGATCACAGTAATGACACCCCTTTCAAGCCTGCCTGCAATCATCATTATCTTTCTATATTCAGAAATGAACTGCTGCCAATTCCTTGAATGTCAAGAATTGCTCCAAGCACAAAAGGGGGAGGGGAGATGGTAGGACAGACAGAAATGGAGGATACTTGCTACCTGCGTTGGTCAGGAAGAGCCAGGATGGGCACAGGGAAGGCTGACTTATAGGACACACACAGTGCTCATTCACACAATATTTTTAATCAGAAAAGGAACATGTCCTCTGTAATAGTACTTAGAACCCTGGAAAATTCCCACTTTCTCTTCATGTTGGAAACCCTGGAACTACTGCTGAGTAAACCTCCTCCATGTGCTTCTCAAATCCCAAAGTAAAAAGTGTGTGCATGCCAGCCCGGAAGGCTGTCATTTCCCGAAAGCCCACACACTCTAACCTCTGCTACATCGCAAAAGCATTTCAAGGCAGCAGCACAGACCTTGACATGATAGGGCCAGCCTGAAGTAGGCACTGGCCCAACGAGGAGAGAGCAGGCCTGGCGTGTGGCCAGCTGCTGGGTTGAGTGGTAGCCTGCAGTCCAGGCCCTGCCACCGATTCCAGGTGGCGGGACACAAGACTGTCCACAAGAACAGGTAGCCCAGCATGCAAAGTGCAGTCGCCAAGACTGAGTGGGATGGCACACGGAAGGAGTCCCCTGACAGAGGGGTGATTTCCCAGCCTTTCCAAACAGGGGTGTTTTCCTTCAGATCTGGGGTAAGGGGGGCTGTGCTCTGTGGAAGCCTGAGCATGTCTTTAAGAAAACGTGGCGTCTTTTGCCTCAAAATTCACTACTTCCAGTGCCTCCCCGGTGGTGCAGCGGTTGAGCGCTGGGTTGAGAAGCTGCCCACAGCCTCTGCAGTGCCAGTTCAATCCCCGGCCACCGGCGAGGGTCCCACATGGTGCAACAGACCTCTCCTGCCGCCCGCTGCTCCCCTTAGCAGTGTATTTCGTCAGTCTGCTTGTTCTGCTCCCCGCTCTGGCTCTGGTGAATTCTCTCACCCTCCCGCGCTTCTGACTGTACCCAGTGCTTGTATAAATAAATAAATAAACAAATCTTAAAAAAAAAAAATCACTACTTCCAGTCTTGATTGCTCAATAGTCAGGGGCCACGCTCTACAACGGTGGACCAGGGCTGTTTACCCGACAAGTGCAGCCCCTCAGCAGAAAGCCCTCTGATGCCACCGCTCTAGTCCACACTCACAGAGCAGATAGGGAAAATAGTTTATTTATTGAAGGCTCATTTAAGTGCAGTCACTGGAAACAACTGCCTTATCACAGGTAGCACCTTCAAGTGACTAAAGGAAATCGTGGACTATCAATACTTGGAAATTTCCCCAAATTTAAAATCAGGACACATTTTAGTAAAAACTATATTATTCATGTGGGCAGAGGGATTTAGCACCAAGTGACATATATATTTGAGGAATTAAAGAAAAGTTTTAATTAAAGTTGCGTCTAGAAACAAGTGTGACTTTTTAGTCTGATAGCCCCCTCGTGATATTCACCATCCCCTTCCTAATATTCAGTACTAAAAATATTTTTAAAACCTAACAAATGCCACTGTTCAGAAGTAAAGGTCAGGTGGCCAGTTGGCTTACCTGTTGCTTGATTCTGGGATTCCATCTAATGTAGTAATTCACCCAGAGCTCCAAGTGACGCATGCTGGCAACTGGATATAAAACTCGATTGATTTCTTTAGTATAGAAGGGATTTTTGAATTTTTCTTTGTTGCTGTTTATCAGCGACCATAAGGAAACGGTTCTTTCTGGAACATTCTACAGAGAAAGAAAAGTAGAAGGCCTAAGTGAAAACACACACAAATCCACAAACCATTTGCAGCAGCAACTTGAATCAGACATTCACATTATCCCCATAATAGCTCAAAAAGCCTCCAGGGCCAGTGAGTGCTAGGCAGCCACTTAGCGCTATTTGCATAGATAATGGCCTGGCTGGAGAGCCACTACTGCTGCCCAGAGGGGCACGGGCTGCAGGGGACGCTGAATGCAGCTAGTTCACTGACCTGAGAAGACTATTCCTGGCAAGGTAAAAACTGACACAGACGAGCGCGATGCTCTTTTTAATTCAGCAGGAAGAAAAAGTGCTTGCGAGATGCCACTGACTTTTTTCATTTTTGTTTTTATTCAACTACGCAATCGTGGCCCGTGTCTCCTCAATAGTAGGCACTAGATGCAGTGTCATTTTAATGAACCATCCAGACGCTTCGTCTGCATCGTGCCAACATTCTGATATCGGCCACCATCACATTTTCATTACCTCAACAAAACAAAGGTGTCTGTGAAATGTTATGTAGTGTGGATTTTTTGAACCAATTTTGACCATAAACTGAGGAAAAAATCAAAGCTTGGGAAAGAAAAGTACAACTATGAGCACGAGCCAAGGCAGAATGTGAAAGTGCTCCTAGCACTGACTTCAACCAGAAGGAACAAGGGACGAAACCGGAAGCTAAAGAGCCTGAATTAAGTCACTGAAGACAGAGACTGCTAAGTGTGAAAGGCAATAACAACAGCAGAACTTTGCCTTGCTTGGAATCCACTTCAAACTGTACGTTTCTGATGCCACAATCTTCATCACATTGTGTTGAACAGTTTGCTTATTTTATTTTTATACCTCCTCATTGTTTAAAAAGTCAAATAATTCCACATGATTTGTTATGAAAAAGGCAGCCTCATTCCAGAAGCAACTGTGTTTGATTTTTCAAATGGATCTGTTTGAGTCTTTGCACATGCTCTCCTAGTGCTTGTCTGCTGTCCTGTTGTGAGGCTGCCTGTGGCCGGCCCCCCTCTGTCATCCTCGCACTGCTGCAGGGAAGCACGTACTCGCTTAGTCCCATGACTTCTCTCTTCCTGTGCAATTTTTGGGACTGCTTTCCCTTGATTGAACAGCTGCCAATTCTGTTTGCTGACGTTTTGGGGGCCATTATCATTAACTCAACTCCAAAGTTTCCCTCCAACCTCTTAAGCATCTGTCAAGACACGCAGCACTGCAGGCCTCCCAGTTTCGTTTTGGGAGAGAAAGTTGGTTGTCTGGTGCGCTTACCCCAAGTCTTTGTGGAGTGGATACGCAGGTATGTTCCAGAGAAAGAGGGTGGTGTGGGAGCAAGAGGTCTGGTGTGTCAGACTATCTGTGCTGGACCTCAATTCTGGTTGACACGGTGCTGGTTATGGGAGCCGAGGCGGAAACCATAACCCTTTACCTAACTTTTGAAGGCCAGGCTCTCCCGAGTCCTACACTGCCAACATTGCTGTGAAGGAACCAATCTTTCTGATTTCCGTTTTTTTGCAAACAGCCTGTTCCTTTTCTCTTTGGGAGAGGAAAGACCTTTCCTTTGTTGCTGGTATTCCCAAGGCTCACAGAGAAGGGCCTTCCTTGGCAGGCACATACTTCAGTTTTGGTTATTTCGGTGATTTCCCGCTCTCATTTCTCTTTCTAGAACTCCTGTCATTTGGGTATTGTCTCTCCAGCTGTCACCTGGTGGACACTGGGGCTGCTTGGACTTTTTTCGCTGTTGGGAGTGCTGCTGCCAGGCGTAGTTAGTGTGTTCAAGGTTTTGTTGCAACTTCTATTTTCATACATACATACAAACTCGCCATCATAATTCTATATTTAGCCTTCTGAAGAGCCCCCGGCATGCTTTCCACAGCAGCCGTGCCATCAGCAGTGCAGGGGGTTTTGTTTTCTCCCCACCCCGCCAAAGGGGAAGGTTCTCTCATGCTCCCACCTGAAGCCAGCAGAGGAAGCCAGCAGGGCTCTCAGAGGCCCACTCTTCTCCATTCACCTTGTCCCCTGATGGCACTCAGGTCCCCAGCTCTGAGACCCACGCTTACCCTCTTCTCTTGAGAAGAAACCTATGTCAGAGGCCTCAGCTCCAGAGCAGGTAGAGAGGGGTGAGGGGAAGTTGGCTGCCTATTGTAGACACACCTTCCTTCAGGTTATCTTCTCTCTCTCCTTTGCCCGACGCCTGCTATAGCTCATGCCTGAGTCACCTGGGAGCCCTGTTTCTGACTGAGGGCTGCTCCCTGGCATCCCCCTGCTGTGTGGCACCTGCTTTTCTCCAGCTGACTTGTTTACCACAATCTGCTGGCTTTTCAGCTTTCCAAACGTCTGTTGCTATGTCTCCTCATCTTCCTGCTGCTTGTGGGTTTGTGCCTTTAAAAAATTCCCCTTCTGACATTTTTGTGGCATTTTGGGCGGGAGAACGTGTACACTTTTAAAACCATTCCTACTCCCCTGAGGGCAAAGCCAATGTTCACCTGTGCAGTGAATACTGAACACCGAACACCTGACGAAAGCCATTTGACGTGAAAATGCCCAGGCTGGGGGGGGGGCGCGGAGTCTGCACCGACCACAAGGCAAGCTCCCTGATTCCCCGTACAGCATGGCAGACGTGTTACACTACAGGGAGCCTTTAACTATAAAGGGTGGCATTTTCACTAACCTGCTTTACTCGAGTGGACTCACAGTTGTACAAGAAAGTACCAAACCGGCAACTGTACAGATGATCCAGAATTGTGATCAGAAACCGTTCATTGAATTCAAACGCTGTGGGGAACTAGACGGAAACAAACAAGCAAACAAAGCATGAAAGCCTGGGACGGATTTTTTATTAAACCGAAACGATGCATTTGTAGGCATGCCTAGATGTTTTCAGATCCTTCCATGAAGGTTAGCACAGGTTCAAACTGCACACCCAATATCTCATCTGTTGGAGCTTTACAAAGGACTGAGGCCTTGAAATTAGTAGCAAGTAATGGAAAAAAGAGGAAAATACACCAATTTTCTGGATTCTTCTGAGTATACAAGACATGCAGGAGAGGTTAATTATTTAAGATATGATATTAGCTCACGTGCCTACATCCAAAGGCCAGTGTAGAACAAACGAGACCATGTGGTATTGTCAATTCTATTGCTCCTCCATTAGAAGAGATAATAGTTAAATACTGAATTCTAAAAACGTTTTAAAAATTCTGCACATATCAATAGCAGTGACAATTAAAAAAAAAATCAACCCTCATGTAACCATCACACGGCTTCAATTATTCACTGGCACACGGCCTATGCTGTTTCATTTCTATCTCTATCCTGTATTCTCAGGCAAATCCCAGCTACTACGTCAAAATATTTAAAGATCTGCTTGAATGTATTTTCATGCCACCTACGTCCCCTTACCTGCTTTGACATCTGCCATACACAGTCAATAAACTGGAGAAAAATGGGGGAGCGGTCAGCGTCGGCATGGTTCTTATCGCCGTGACCTATTCTCTGAAATGGATTGATGAAGATTATTTTAAATTGGGGGCACAGAACTGAGAAAGCATATAACCCACACAATGTGGCACCAGCAGACAGCAATCTGTCTCCCAATTGCTGAGTTACTTCCAGAGTAAATAGCATGTTTTTCCACGGCAACATAGAAAATAACAAAATGTTTTGAAGTATGAAAGAAATGAAGCCTATATACTTCTGTAAAATACCGACACAAGCTGGCAAGGCCTCAGCGCCCTCTGTGACTGTTGCAAGGACTTCACACGAAGAGTCTGCACAAGCCCTGGGCGGCAGCGGGACGCTGCCCTGAGGCCCTTGCAGTGTACGTCACGAGCTGCTAAGGAAGCAAACCTTATGCTCCAGGACTGGAAACTATGTCCAAAAGGGTGTGATTAAAATAATGAAAAGTAAGTTCTTCTCTCTTAAAAACAAGACAAAAACCTTACCACTCATTCATTTACTAAACACTGATTCCTACTTGAGAATGCCATTCACACCCCTTAGGAAGCTGGGATGAAGACGACCAGGCTACACAGTGGTGCTGTGCAGCCAGCGCGGCCTCTCCATGAGCACCGTCGGGCGTCTGTTATAAATGCTCACTCAAGGGCACCTGCAAATATGAGTTGTACTGGGTTCTTTCCATTTCTAAAACATGTATCAGAATAACAACAAAAAAGCCTCAACTGACAGTGCAGCATTTCCATAAAAGAGTTGGCTCCAACAGGGACACCGTTAGTCCGGGAAGAATCACTCTCCTAGCCTCCTCCTCCTCTGCAATCTTGGTTTAACACGTCTGCACAGACTCTGTGTTACTTTACAGTGTAACTGTCAGTAGTAGAGATGAATGAACCTATCTCTTAAAAAGCTTTTAAGCTTATTACACTCCACAGATTTTTGAAAAGTAAATATATGTTTAACAACTAGTTTTTTAATCCCAAGTAGCTATGATCTGACATTAAAAAAAAAAACCCTGCTTTATTGTTTACTTACAGATGCAAATTTATGTCCAAAACTTATCCATTCTTTCTGTACCAAGATTTCAAAGCCTTCAATACTCCGATAGAAGCTGTCCAGCATGAGCATGGCCAGGGACGTCAGCTGGGCCGTGCGGTCCCAGCCGTCGCTGCAGTGCACCACCACCGAGCTCTTCCCTGAAGAGACTCTGTCGGCTACTTGAATGGCACCCGTCAACACAAGCTGCCAAAGAAAATCAGAGGCGTCAGTAGGTCTCTGTGAGGTGCTACTTACATTTCAACATAGCACGTTTAACCCTAGAAAAAGTGCTATGTTAAAGTATTATTAATGCTCAGAACAGATAAAAGTCCTGCAAATGGAACACCAGGAGCTGCAGGGTCTGGTGACGTTTTGCCACAGAAACTGCACTTGAATGCAACCAAGTGTTCAAAACCAAAACCAAACAGACAGGAAGCCTAAGTGCACCTCACATTCGTTTTCATGTACATGACTGTATTCATTTGCTAGGGCTGCCGGGACAGCCACACGGATTGGGTGGCTGAAATAGAACCAGGCTCGCAGGTCCGGCAGCCATAAGTCTGAGATGTGCCCACATTCTACTTTTTCCTAAGGACACCACTCGTGTTGGATCAGGGGCCCTTCCACACCAAGATGACCTCACCTTGACTAATTGCATCTGCAAAGGTCACACTCTGAGGTACTGGGGGCTAAGGGCTTCAACATGAATTTTGGAGAAACAATTCAACCCATAATGGTGATCATATTGTAACAGGGTGCTCCCCAGGAAAGGGGGAGTATCCAGGTTTCCTGCCCCACCCAAAAGGAGGGTGGAACTGAGCAGGGAGAAGAAGCTGCAGAGGAGACTGAGGAATTCCGGAAGGAAGCAAGATGGAAAGCCAGGAGACCTGGAGGAGGCACATGCAGCCGAAAGACATGTGAAGAAACTGCGCTTGCCTTTTGGTCATGGACTAGGTGACACAGATGTGGGTGAGACTCTTGGGGAGGTGACAATGGCAGTTTTTGTCTTGATTTTGATTTTGCTCTTTTCCTCCCAGACTTGTCTGGTTCTGATCCTTTTCAACAAACAACCTGGTTGTTTCCGGTCCCCACTGGAAGATGCTTTAGACCTGTGGCAGGCTTTGGGGCCTTGCTCTGGGCCAATCCCATTTGGGTGGACTTTTACCCACGAGGGGATGGGTAACTTTGGGTGCTTGATTTAGAAACTATATTCTTTGCCTTTCCTGTATTGTTTCCTAATTGTATTAAAGTTCCTTTTCATTAAAGTCTCATATGTTCTTATGTTGATGCGGCGGATGGCAGAACCTATTTAGAGTAGGCAGGTTTGCAGGGTCTAGGCTGCCCCTCTCCCTGCCCTGTAACAATATTAGCAACGTCCACTAGGTCCACTCAGGACTTTAAAGGCAAGGCATAACAGAAATCACCTTCTGGCTTTTAAGTTGACAAAATATAAACTCTGTATGTGGCTCATGAACAGCAGAACAGGTACCAGAAGATAAAGTGATGACCTTCTCATAAAATTTTGAGACTGAGAAGCACCACGAAATTTATGTCTATAAAGAGATGTTGTTAAGATATCACTTTGGGGATGATTTTGGTATTTACAAGTACTTTATAAATATAAACCACAGAACTTATCATCCATCATAAGTGTGCAGTTAAAAAAATAAATTTACAGTCATGCAACCACACCACAATCCAGTAGTAGAACACTTCACCACCCAGGAATGTCCCGTGTGCTTTGAGGTCAATCTCTGCTTCCAGCCCCAGGCAGCCACTGATTTGCTTTCTGTCTTGGTAGTTTTGCCTTTACTAGAAATTTCATATAAATGGAATCACATTAATAGGTACTCTCTTATATCTGGCTTCTTTCACTTAGCATCAAGTTTGAGGTGCATCTATGTTGCAGCACATGACAGCACTTCCTTCCCTTTAAAGGAATTCCTTATGTGGATAAACTACATTTTATTTATCCATTCACCAATAGACAGACATTTGGGTGTTTTAGCACCAGTTTACTATGAATAATACGACTGTGAACGTTTGCATACACATTTTTGTAGGGACATAAATTTTCAGTACTTGTGGGTAAACACCTAGGCTTGCAATGGTTGGATCATGAGGTAACTGTACGTTTATTTAATTTTTCAAGGCGTTGCCAAACTGTTTTCAAAAGCAGTTGTACCATTTCACATTCCTGTCAGATTCAATGGGATTCAACACAAGTGGTATTAGGAGATAATTTTGTAGCAATACAGGGTCACATTGATAAACAAGAAAAATCTCAAGTAAATAATCTAATCTTACATCTGAAGGACCTAAGAAAAAGAGCAAGTGAAAGTCAATAGAAGGAAGGAAATAAAAATTAGACCAGAAATAAATGAAACACAAATAAAAAATACAAAATATCAATAAAACCAACAACAGGTTCTCTGAAAGAATAAGCAAAATTGATATACCTTTATCTAGGCTCACTAAGAAATAAAGAGCAAAAACTCCAATGAAAAGAATCAGAAATGAAAGCGGCGAAGTTTCGACAGCTACTGAAATACAGAAGATCATGAGAGATTACTACGAACAGCGATATGCGAACAGCGATATGCGAACAAATGGAACAGACTAGAAGAAATGGACCGATATTTAGAATTACAAATATTTTTTGAAAATTGGAAAAGAAGTAAAACTATCACTATTTGCAGATGACCTAATAATATGCATAGAAAATCTTAAAGATGCCACCAAAAAAGTAGTAGGACTAATAAATGAATATTGTAGGTAAAGGATATGAAATGAATACACAAACATTTGTTGTTTCTATATGGAAATAATGAATTAGAAAAAAGAGAAATTCAGAAAACAATTTCATTGATAGTCACATCAAAAAAGAATAAAAGGAGGTGAAAGGTGAAAGGAGGTGAAAGGTCTATACAAACTACAAAACACTGTTAAAAGAAATAAAAGAAGACACAAAGAAATGGAAACATAACCCACGCTCTTGGAACACCACAAACACCACAAAAACAACTTAGACTCAGAAAAATATGGTGGTTACCAAAGGGGTAAAGGAAGGTGGAGGGAAGAATGGGCAGAGAGGGTCACTGACAGTGGGGAAGGGCACTAGGACTCTGGTAGGGGGTACAGTGGGGTGTGCACACACACTGGGGTGTGAAGCTGTACTTCCAGAGCCCAGATAGTGTTGTAAGCTGATGGCATATCAAAAATATTGTCTGAAGAAAAAGAAAACGTGCCCAACTGTTTTCAAAAGAGGTTGTACCATTTCATATCCCCACAACCAGTGTATGAGGCGCCATCTTTCCACGTGCGGACAGCCATTCACATACATTATGTCATGTTGGGGTTCCCAGAATTCTAGGAGCCATGTAACATACACATGTGATGTCATTTTAACTAAATTAAAGAAAGTGAAATATGTATGTATTTTAATTAATTCAAGGAAAAGACAGACTAAGAGTGAAAGGTGTCATATACAGAAAGTTTTTTTTTTTAAATGTACTATTTTTTGACATAACCACTAACTAAGGTAAGTGGACAGTGGCAAGGACAGGCCGGGGCCTGATGGCATACCAGTTTTCTGTATCACAATCATTGCTTTAAAAACTGACTAGAGCAGATTTATTTACTTGAGCATTTTAAGTATCTCCTCAAAATTCTGTTTACAATTTTAATTTGAGGCACTTCTGAAGGGCTGTTGAAAGCAATGATAATATACAAGATCACTTGAGTCCAACTTAATGAAACCGCAGGTCTAATGCAATTTTACAGAGGAACACTCTCACACCAGTTATTTCCCTTTTAATAAGAAAGGGGCACAATCTCGCCCAGTTATCTTTAAAAATATCAGATGATTTCCAATAAAGTATGAATTCCCACCAACATTTCTGAGAGGAACAGTTGTAATTATCTAATAAACAAGATTATATTTTAAAAAACACATCACCGAAAGCTGTTAACTAACAGACGGCCTTGGGAAGGAACAGCAGCCATCACGCTGCAAGGGGCACTGCTGAGGTTACCAGCTCAAAGGGTAAAGACCTGGGCTTGAAATCTATTCCCACAACTTTCCACATGTTGCACCTTGAGCCAATCGCATAACTGTGGCCCCTTTCTTTCTAAGGCGAGGAAAGGCGTGGCACTCTCATCACATCCTGAACTGAAAGAAATTATCCCTATGCAGCGATGATATTGAGCTTGTGTTCAGTGAACCCAAGAAGCACAAAAGGTCATGTGACTTGTAAAGAAAAAAGGCCTCAGGAGAAGAGTGTTGAAAACAACAGAAGAAAATGGAAGCTCCAGAAACCAGAGACCTGCCACCTTGTTGGGGATGCATCAAGGGACGGGAATGTGGGTTTGGGACCCAAGCAAGGGTGATGTCTTCTTGCCTGCAAAAGGGTTGCCCTATTCTGTACTGAGTGGAGGGATCTTTTCACCTGAGTGGCTTAGTGCCAGCCAGGCCAGCAGCTCCGGCACTGTAAGATACCATGGAGGTCAAACAGTGATTACCAAAGATGTCCGGGTCATAGAAACCTGTGAATTCTGCCTTACAGGGCAACAGGGACTTTGGAGGCAGAGGTCAGAGTGATGCAGCCACAAGCCAAGGAATGCCAGCAGCCCCCAGAAGCTAGAAGAGCCCGGGAATGGCTTTCCCCCCGAGTTTGCAGGAGTCAGCCCAAGTGTCCTACCCATTTCCACCTAGTCTTGAAGGTTGGGCTCAAGGCTACCCACATCTCTGCTCTCCTGTCCTACCTGGTACAATCTCACTCACTCCTGAGAGGCCTTGACGCAGATGTCCATCAAGGCTTCCTGGTTCCACCTGGTCTCTTTGGAGATCAGTGACAGTTTCTTTCATTTCTTTTGCATCCCCCTGTCTATGAACAGAACTATCAAAATGTAAAGGGGCCTTTTACACTATGTTCCACATTCCTTAAGTCCTAACTTCCATATTTCCTCTTTTGCTGATGCCTTGACTCCTAATTTCCTCACACACTACAGCCATTGAATAAAGACCCACTTCCAAGTTCCACTGGTCCTTCCTAGATCCTTTAAAGTCTGCTATCCTCCTCTGCTCTCTTGCTTTCTCCTTGATGTCATCTTTACTGAGCTCTACCCCTCACCTCCCGTCTACTCTAAGTGCCCCCATTCTCTGTGTACCCTTTCTCAGCATCCTCAGGAAAGGTCTGGCTTGAGTTGGCGGCCTAGCAGCTTTCCCCAGCCTACACTGTAGTCCTAAGCTCCGTTCGTCAGACATGAGAAGCTGGCTGCCTGTCATTATTACAGGTAGATAGCGGGCCACTCCCTCGCACACACAGCATTTTCCTTGACCACTGTCAGTCTACCTTCATCCACTTCTCACTAGCTGCTTATCCAGCTAATCATCAAGTACCACAGGCCCTTTGTAGTCTCTCCTCTCCTCCACTCCAAACCTAGCTGCATTCAGAGTCAGGCCATAGCTACATATCTCTGGTCTCTAGCAATGGCTTTGTTTTCTCTAACTTCATTTTCTTTCAACTCTTATCTACTCTGTAGGCTGCTGTGAGAACATTTTCCTAAAACACCCCATTATTCCAAAACCACTGGGGTCCCCCAACCTAACTTCACTTTCAAGGTCCCTGACTATGGCTTCCCTCAGATTTCTCTAGATTAACCTGCAACTACAAAGCCCTCACTCTTCCTAATCCAGACATGTTTCTGGGCTTTTGTCCCAGCTGCCCCTTCTCTAGAAAGGATCTCCTCATCCCTCTGCTTTCTTCATAGTACAGATCAAGTCCCCCATAATCCCGTAGGGCCAGTTCTTCCTGCAGACTTTGCTGTGAATACTCTTTGCTACTTGATGCACAGTAATCTGGAAAGTTATACTTCTGTTTTCTGCACACATATAATTTCTTCAACCATATAGATACCTCCATAAAGGCAGAAGAATGTCAGACCTTTTCCCATTCACAGGGTCTAGCTTTATACACCATGAGAGTGCAATCTTTTTTCAAAATTACCTTTTCACTTTAGGGATGTTATTTTACATTTATAGAAAACTTATAAAGATACTATGCAAAGTTCCCATATACTTGACTCAGTTTCCCCTATTATTGTAAATCATTTAATACTACAGTACATCTGCCTCAAACATACTTGAAAAGATTCAAGTACTTTTACTTTGAAAAGAATGGGATTTTGAATGGTTTTATCAAGATGAGGGATCAACTATAATAAAAACACAAAAAATCCATTCTTTGGAGTAAGTCAATTTGTGATTAGTTCCAGTAAAAGCAATCTTTCTCTAGGTCCTTGAGGGCCATACTCAGTGGTAGATAATAAATTGGCTATTCCTAAATAACCTGTGTAAGACTCAGCTACTGACTATTCCTGAGAGGAAAGTGACAGCATACTGCCCTAAAAATATTCTCAGAGGTGATGTTGTGAAATCTTTAATTTAGGTAAGCAAATGATAAAGAAACAAAACTGTGAATAATAGAACCCTACAGAACAAATATTTCATCTCCCCCTGATGAATTTTTTAAAAACTTAACAAATTACAGAAAATTCCGCCAAACAATTACTTTCTTTTTTTATAAACACATGTAAAATTTTTAAAAAGTATACTTGCCTTGATGTGTTCTAACCAATGAGTAGACTCCAAACTGGACAACCAGTGAGATTCTTCCACATTAGGGTAAACAATGTCTTTCACTTTTTTTAAAGATTCCCGCATGACATGAATGTTATGAATGTCTAAGAAGAAAAGTTCGGCGTTATGATATGCATCATCACTTTCATATCCTCCTCCTGTTGCCTAAGGAACAAGATATACAAACAATCAGCTGGGTTTTCCATTTCATCAGTAACTTACACAACATTTCATAAGTTATCAGGGCCCCAAACCAGCAACCTAAAACCCTCCAACTTAGGCTAATGGACATGGGCCGGTGCTCATCCCCCACAAAGGCTTAGCAACTTCAGTCACACCTGGAGCTACAAGAAAAGAGAGGTGGCAGGCAGCCAGTTTCCTGGGGATCTGCATTTGCAACGAAGAGTCATTTCCAGAATGTTCTAGAATTACCAGCTCTTCTTCCAGATCTGAAGAACAGGACCAGTTTGGAATGGTGCTTTGTAACAACACTGAGGGAGGCACTGGCAAGTACCAGTGCTCACGCATATGGCGATAGACAGGGGACAGAGGAAGATAGCAGGTGCTGGTGTGAGACAGACCTTCAGAGCTCAGCTTCAGTCCCTTGGCTGAGTTTCTGGGATAAGGCACTGACCCTCTCTGAGCGTCAATGTCTCCCACGGGATAGGAGAGGCAACTACCTAGGTCTCACGGGATTACGGGAGCCAGGCTCTGCAACAGCAAACCCCCGCCACTGTTTAATGAGCTCCTCTGGCGTCCCGGGCCCCTGGCGCTGTGACCGTTGCTTTACAAGCCTGGCGTTACTATCCTCGTTTTGCGAATGAGAAGAGACGCTATTTACCCACCCTTAAAGTCACACAGGGAATGGGGAGAATTTAAGTCATCTGACTGCCAACCCCGCCCCTTTTCTGTCTGCTGTGCAAATGCCAAGGATGAAGCGCTGCAGGTGGGCCCTGCAGAGGGTTTCAGAGGGAACAGAGGGTTTCAAGAGAGAGGGGTGGACCTTCCCGGCGTCTGACTGGCAGGGCGGTAGTCCACCAGAACTGCAAGCTTGTGTTTGGAACCTGGCTGCATTCGCTTAATGATGTTAATGCCACATAACGTGGCCTCTGGTTGGTTAGGAAAAAGCGAGCAATTCAGAGACTCTGGCAAAAGCAATGTTCTCGAAGTTGAAATGGAAGGATGTTAATGGACATGGCAAAAACATGGATGTGTGAAAGTCACCAGGACAGGTGCCCACAGAGTCAGAGGGGCATCGCGCTCACTGGCGAGTGCCTGCGAGGCTGGGCACGGAACACGGACATGTGTGGAACTGAGGGGTGCGGGGAAGGCCACAGTGTGCAGCTGCCACACTACGCTTTTTTATAAAATGTATAATGAAATAGAAAGTGGAAGTCGGGGCAGAAATCCCAAAGCATCCTAAGTTTCTTTCCAGGGATAGTCACAGAGGTTTCCCGCAGTAGAAGACAGGCTACCCCTTGACCTTCAAACCTGGAGACCCATGTGCAAGCCGGAGGCTTCAGGTCCCAAAGACTCAAGGTGAGGCAAAAGGTGTTATTTAGAAATATAAAAATCTATCTTAACAGCTCAGTGAAGGTTGACTCTCTCTCTATCATTGAGGCTGTTTGTAGCCAACTTTAAAGATAGATTTTTATATTTCTATATAAAATTTTTTTTATATTTTTAAAATTTTTTAAAATTTTTTATATTTCTATATAAAAATCTATCTTTAAAGTTGGCTACAAACAGCCTCAATGATAGAGAGAGAGTCAACCTTCACTGAGCTGTTTTTAAAGTTATTAATGAATAAGTGGACAAATAGGCCCCTTCCCTGGCGGGTGGTCCACGCCTCTGGGAAGGACACCTTGAAGCTGCGGTCAGAAGTCAAGTGCGCTGGTCACTACTGCCCACGGCAGCGCGGAGCCTGGGGGAGCCTGGAGCGGAGTATCCCCTGGCCTGTAAGCTCATCAGGCACAGATGCTCACCCTCCCGTAGACAGATGACCTGCTTCTCTCCCATGTGGTTCTTCAATAGTCAGGGTGATTTTCAAAGCGATGCTCAATACTAGAGTTTCTTTCATAAACAACTGAAGATGATACGTGAAGAAATAAAAGGGAAAGTATCCCTATCACTCACTGCCAGAGTCTCTGGCAGCACCGGACATTAATCCAGCTTCGCTGTAATTCATCAAGGGCATCAACACAAACCGGGAGCAGCCTGGTGCTGGATCTTATCTCCCCCTGGGCTTTGTCTGTCTGCTTGTTTAATTTAAAATGGTGTGCTGCCGCTTGTTGCATCTGGGCTAGGAAACTTCTAAATATCCACAGGGGAAGAACAATTAGATCCAAAAAGAACAGAAGTCAGAAGGGTAAAAATCAATTAGTCGAGCATAGATTGAGTTCCCGAAGTTCAGATTCTCTGTTATGAAGAGAACAGAGAAGTTATGAAGTCTTCTTCGCGCAGGAAGACGGAAAGGTTCAAGGGCTGTTGCTGTGCACGTGGATGCGGGGGAAGTGCCCCGGGAGTGGGGTGGGGGGAGAACCTGCCTGTGGATTATAAGGAATGACTCAGATCTTTAAAGCCTAGGTCTCCCGTTGCTTTCATTCCGGAGAGGGCTAGAGACACAGGCCTATTTCCTGAGTGGCACAGAGGCCTTCGAGAACGTGCCTGCTCTGACAACGTGCTCCTAGAGCTAACACAACTGAAGCCTTCATTTTACGCATCCTATATCTTAAAATATTCTTCCCAAATACTTCATTTAAATGTGATGGCCTATCTATTTCGGGCTCAGTGCATACATGGAAATGTTGTGTTTTATTCATGCATTCCATTCTGACTTATAGATGAAGCATTGCAGGAACAGAAATACATAAAACTGAGACCAATCCAAGAAGATAGTCATACTTAGATTTAATTTCCTGAAGGTTTTGCTTATAATTCCTAATTTATTTATCATTTTAACATCCTGATTTCTTCAAAATTATTGTTATTGCCTAAACTAAAACTGTCTGTAGTAAGAGAGAGTTGGGCCAAGATCAAGGGCATGGGGCTGCAGGGGGCTTCCCAGGAGGAAATGTAGGAGGCAAGGAATTACGAGGGCCTCTCGCACGCCACTGTTGCCGCATGTGCTCGCGTAGTAGACACCGCAGGTGCCACTCAGGAATTGGCTAACTCTGTCTCAGCTGCTCCGGGACTTGTTTTGTTTCCTGATTCGCAAGTGAGCCTTGAAGAATTGAAGACGCCAGAAAATGACCTCAGGATGTGCAAAATATTGTAGATGATGAAATGAAAGCCTCCAGCCAACAAGAAACAATTCCCCCAAAAGGCGGAAAGGGCTGGGGGTGAACACCTTGTGTCAGGCCCATCCCGGGCACCTGCAAGTGACAGCTGGCAAGAACGGGAAAGAATGAAACCAAGCCAAAACACGGCCATCAGCTGTAAAAATCACTTTCATCTGGGGCTATTCAGCAACAGAGCAAATAGCCTCACCCCTTGAGGCAGCTCTCTGTACCTCGCTGATGTTCAGGATGAGGACCCTGGTCAACTTCAAGGGCGCTTGACATATTCTGCTTACAAAGGCTGAGAGCAGAGCTCTTTGAAAATATTAACGCTGTGTGTTATTAAATCTTACTAAATCTGAACATTATTCACATTGTATATGTGGTTGTAAAATTCACACTATCAATCTTCTTGAATGTTCTTAAAATCATCAAAAAGACACATTCATGAGCACAGTGATGGTATGTTTTGGTCAAGCTACGCATTTAGGATTTCAACAATCACAAATTCGCACAACTCCTCACAGATGCCTCAATAGTGTACACATGAGGCCGATCATCAACAGCCTGCAAAGCTCCAGACTTGAACTTAGGCCTGATTCTGGCCAAACTTCGACTTCAGTACAGCTCTGGACTTCTGCGATTTACCTAAACTTTCTTTTCATTGGACTCGAATGTAATGCAGCTTGTGTTGAAGATAATGTCTGTGATTAAAACTACATTCTACATTCGTGAACTGCTTTTCTTAATTAACCAAGTTTAACTATTAACTCGAACGTAAGGTTTATTTAAGCACACGTGAATGCAGCAGGGCAAAGCATGCCCGTGGTGCCGCGCGAGCTATGGGGCTACCAGTCCAGGGGACTGACTCACCTTGTTGGCCACCGCGTTCACATTGGGTCTTGCGTCATAGATGGTGAGTTTAGAGACTTGTCTGTTAGTCTCCCTGATGACGTCAAGATACTTCTCGTCATCTTTATTTCGTTTCCCACTCATCCCCACGAGGGGCTGACTGCAGCGCACGATGACCGTCTTGTTTTCCGGGTGAATCCACGAGAGCACCTGGGGGTAGTTGAGAAATTTTTTTGAATCTATTTTTTTTTTTTTTTTTATAGAGGCATGTTTTTTTTATTTATTTATTTATTTATTTATTTTATTTGTTTGTTTTGTTTATACATGCACTGGGTACAGTCAGAAGCGTGGGAGGGTGAGAGAATTCACCAGAGCCAGAGCGGGGAGCAGAGCAGGCAGAAGGACTGAAGTACACTGCTGAGGGGAGCAGCGGGTGGCAGGAGAGGTCTGCGCACCATGTGGGATCCTCCTCCGGTGGCCGGGGAGCAGCCGGGGATCGAACCGGCGCCGCAGAGGCCGCGGGCAGCTTCGCAACCCAGCGCTCAACCGCTGCGCCACCGGGGAGGCCCCTAGTTGAGAAATTTTAAGCTATCAAGAAAAAAACCAAATCTTGCGAAAATAATGAAAACTAGAAGAAGCAAAGCACTAAAACATCAAGATGAAGTGTATCTGGTCTTGCTGAAGTGCAAAATTTGTTCGCCTACGATTTCACTGGGTGCGCCCAGAAACACACACTTAGCAGCACTGGCTAGGAGAGAGCGGCTGGAATCACCAATGCCGTCGGTATCTTCCCTTCGTCAGCACCGACAGAGACGCGCAACCAAACCGCTCTGGAAGCCAGTGGAAAGGCACAGGATCCGCCAAGCCTCCCTTTTCTTACTTTCGACCTAGAGATGAGATCTGCTCTCCCTACCTCCGATGGCCTTTATTTCAAGAGTCATCAGGGATAGGAAAACCCTTTTATTTTTTTAATCTAATTTTTTTCAGGTTTATTGAAACAGAAGTGACACATAACACAGTTAGACTATGGTGGACAGCATGTTGATTTCATACAAGATCACTTTGAAAAGAGCCAAGTTCTACAGATACAAGAGACTTATTTGATAAAGATCCTCATCAAGATGTCAATTTCAAGCTGCCCTGCGCCACCAGAGCCCGGACTTCTCCAGTCCCTTCTCATTGCTTGGGAGGTACATTAAGGAGTCACTACCAAAAGATGTTTACCACAGCATGTTTATAATAGAGAACCCGGACATCTCTGAACAGGAATGTGACTAAGCACACTGGCAGACGAGCAGATACTGACCAGTAAGTGATAGAATCATATGTATGTTATTATTTATGCACAAAATAACAAGATCTCTTTCTCATCAATGCTTTTTATATTTTATATAGGCTCTTTAAAAAGAACTGAAGGGCAACTATTAATGATTTCACATTAAAAGCACAAGTATTTTCTGGGTTATAGTCAAGAGTCAGGTGATTAGAAAGTGCATCAGAAGAAACACATTATCTGCCATTAGATATTTCTAGGCATCATATCTATAAAGGTATAGAAGTGATGGACAACTTAGTCTTAGAAAGATTAACATAATGGGTAAAGAAGCAAAAAAATAACCACTCAATTTGTTCTACAGCAGACTCTTGTTCACTGAGAATGAGAGAGACTACTGTCTCAAGATGGCAGCCTGGGTGCAATGGACTGTGCACAGTTGATTCATCCCTTCCTTGCCCCAAACCACATGTCTCTCTCTCTCTGTCACACACACACACACACACACACACACACCCCTTTGAGAAAGCAGATGACCAATAAAGATTAACTGAATGAAGGCATGAACAAAATCTGTCCAAGCTACCCCAGCGCTGTTCTCCTCAGGGGCTAGACACCTGGCTAGGGCATGGGTAGAGTCCGTGGTCATGACCCAGAAATTATGTGCAAGCAGAGGAGTACACTTGTGACTCCAGCTTCCTCAGCACTGTGTTCTGGCAGCATGAGTGAGCGAGCATGCTTTCGCCTACAGTAGACATCGTGAAGAGATGAGTGGCAGTCATAATTAGAGAGGCAAGTGATTTTAAATGTTACCATTCACATGAGGTTGACAGATTACAAAAGTTTCATACAAATATCCTTTTAAGGACAGGAATGTCTAGACTTGGAGGTTAAAGGCAAGGTGACATTAAATCTCAAATTCTTCATCCCTTCTCTTACAATTTTGAAAAACAAAGCAAAACAATGTACTTATTATGGCAGGCCCTGAAAATAAACAGAGGGGGCAGATTCTCCACATTTTTAGTCAATAAAATTTATGTGCATGGAGAAGACTATGGCATGCACATAAATATTTAAGAGCCAAAGAGAAACTCTGTGCACTAGGCCCATGACAGCTCAAGTCTGGAACAGGCTGCACTTGACCCCCGATGGTGTGCTCGGCCCATCACATGTCCGACATCATGCTGCAAGGGTGGAAACCACCCAGACCCTTCCTTCCCTCTTTCCTTCCTTCCTCGGCACTGCCGGCTGCGTCAGGGCCACTTGCCTGGTTCCCGCCTGGCGGGGAGCTCTGGCGCCAGGGCTGCCTCTCCTTCCCGCTCAGCTGCTGCTCCGCCCTCCCTAGGCACCTACCTGGTCCCTATTGGTTTGACTGAAATTCCACAAGAGTATTTCCTGAATGACCTGACCACAGATCTTAGGGAATAAAAGACACTCCTTGAGAAAAAGACCAGTTGCAGTACTCACTGGAATTCGATTTCGGGATCTGAAAGCAGCCACTCTCTTGAGGTCGTCATCCGAGGCCTGGTAGGGGACCACCAGCAGCGCGGGGTACGTGTCGCAAAGCTCATAGCGCTTATTGATGAAAGTTATTCTCCAGTGGTGGTTGGGCAAGCCCTGCGAGAAGAGAGGGAGGCTGCGTCAGAGCCGCGGCACTTCGACCCTGCGCGTGGCCTTGACTCTCCTGTCTTCTTTCTAGCAGAGACTGCATGTGCCTTTGACCACGGGGTGGTGGCACCATTTGTAAGAAGGGAGCCAGCTCAATAATCCAGACAACATCAGAACACGAGACAGAACACTGGTGCATCCACAGTTCTAAACTACCCTTGGTAAACACTCCCGAACTTGAGACTGCTTTCTAGCACAACAAGCTCTTCCTCGCTGCTTGCAGATACAGATACACCCGAGTTCACCCCTCACCCGTGCACCTCCCCCACCCCAAAGACAAATACATCGCGTAATCATAACCCGCGCCTAAGTGAGGGTAGAAAAGACATCTGGTAACTTCCTCTCCCCACTCGAAACAGAATGAAGGCTTGAGTCTGCTCCAGAGTAGAAAGAGGCTAAGTTTATGAGGCAAGTCACAGAGGGGAAGTGAAGGAAAACCCCTCTGGGGAGGCCCATTTCGCCACCTCCTAAGAGCTTTACAATCAAGTTGTCTGCGGTTGCTGCCCGCCCTACAGTTTGTATGAGAAATACAGTCATTGCATTAGGAGCGGACTGCCGAGTAACAGGGACACTCGGATGATACCTCCCATCCTACCATCTACCCACAAAATTGTATCTGGGACTGACAAGATGCAGAGGTGGTGGAATATTCTCTCCCCATACTCACAAATACACAAATACACACACGGAAGTGAGCTACGTGGGTGCTTGCTTTGGGACAGACATTTGTACCTTTTCTTTAGGTCTTTTCTTTAGGTCCGTGGTCTACAGACCACGGACCAAACAGATGAGTCTGCTGCTGAGTCCGCTTAGAGCTCTAAGTCCCATCAGAAAGTTATAAGAAAAAAGATGGTGTGTAATGGCAGTCTAGAAAAGAGTACCTTCCACAGCTCATACACGCATGCCACTGTTTGCTTTCAAGCTAGAAGCTTTGACCTAAAAAAATAAGTCTTAATATTGTCAATAACATTCCCAAAGTCAGGTACAAATAACTTAACACATAATGTTACAGAAGTCTCCAAAACGCGCCTGAGGTTTGAGTGGTCCTTCTCGAGAGCTGACCCATGACGGGTCATTCAAATGAGAGGCGCAAACAGCCTTGGAAAACTCCAGCGTCTACAGCTGAGTTCTGGAAGTAACGGGGTGCACTACAGCACTCGTGCGCTCCCGCACCCCCTTCTAGGGCATCGATTCCGCTCATGACTCCGCACACCACGGATCAGACTGAAAAGGAAACTGGCCTGGGGGCTGGCAGCTAGAGGGGCTTTCTCAAGCCCAGGGCTCTGCGGCTTTACTTAACACTCCTGCCTTTCCATAGAAAGTAGCTGGTCTTGACGGGATCCTCAAAGGTCACTCAACAAAATCTCCCTATTATTTTAAGAGCTTTGTAGACTGAGAGTTATGAAAAAATTCACCATAAAACTCCTAGCTGTCCTCAAAAGGGACACACCCGAGACCCAGCAGTGTCTCTGGCTACAGAATATGCACAGGGGCTTCATAAAGATGCCCCAAGAGACCTTTGTCCTTGAGCAGCAACATGATACCAAGTCTCCTTCCTTTCTTTTTTTTTTAAGATTTATTTATTTATTTATTTATACACGCACTGGGCACAGTCAGAAGCGCGGGAGGGTGAGAGAATTCACCAGAGCCAGAGCGGGGAGCAGAGCAGGCAGAAGGACCGAAGCACACCGCTGAGGGAGCAGCGGGCGGCAGGAGGGGTCTGCGCACCATGTGGGACCCTCCTCCGGTGGCCGGGGAGCAGCCGGGGATCGAACCGGTACTGCAGAGGCTGCGGGCAGCCTCGCAACCCAGTGCTCAACCGCTGCGCCACCGGGGAGGCCTCCTTCCTTTCTTAGAGCAAATAAGCATGTACGCGGGTGAAGTTTCCCTAAGAGAGCAGTGAAGGCAATTGTAATAGTCATTCACAGAAGCTTTCTCGGAAACCTCATCATTACAGAAAAAGCTCAAATTCACTTGGCCCCATAATATCATTGATATTTAACCGTCAGCTAGTTAAACCTCCAAATATACCAACATACAGCAATAGCAACTCCCAAATAGTCAAGCAGGGAAGCTTGAGAGTTCTAGACCCCCAGTGTGTGCTCATTTCATGAACTACCACCCCACATAACTGCTGTTCTTCATGGAAGAAACAGAACTGTGGCGTCCGGCCTCCAAGGCAGCTTGAAATGGTGAAGGAATGAGCTAGTAGATTACATCATAATAGAGAAATAAAATAAGCTATTTTAGACCATGCCACTGAATGCATATTTAGCAAGGCTATTACTGATTCTCAGAGAGTATGACCAAGGACGTATCATGGTCATGTCTGGGATCTGCCATGTGCCACGCTAACTGTGACATACCTGCCTTCTGTATTCTTCAACTGGGTCATAAACTGTCCATCCATCCACGTTAAACTTTTCTTCATTTAAAAATGCAAATATTGGCTGGAAAAGGCAAAAAAAAAAAAAAAGGAAAAAAGAATTTCAAGCTCAGGGCGAAGGAATTAACAGTCCACTAATAGTATACTCTGCTTCACCAGATTTGCTCACCATAAAATCATAGCCCAAACTGAACCTTTTAACAAATAACCAGGAAAATTTAGACTAGACTTACGCTGCTTTCTACCTTGAATAGTAATTACTTTTGAAAACTCAATTTTCTATGGCTACAGACATACTTATGCATTGTTTTGAAAGGATGCGCCATAAAAATCAGATTTCCAGATTAAAATATGTCTGTGGATTTTAAATAGTATCAGCAATTGATCAAGTAAAAGACACACCCCCTCCCCCAAAAAGAAAGAAAATTCAGGAGTGATTTTTAAAGAGGGTGACTATCTCAAAGGAGCACAATGACGTCTTTAAAAACGTTCTCCTACACTGCAGGGCCCCATTCTGGGCCTGTGGGCAGCTGCAGACGGATTCTGTCCCAGGCCAGACAGGACCTTTGCCCAAAGTTGGCTGGTGATCAGTGCTGGAGGCAGCCCCCCCTCCCCCGCCCCGTGGATCTTGTGTAGGGCCTGGTCCTGTACCTGGCCCGCAGCAGGCCTGCTGGCATTTAGCCAGGTGCCACTCCAGGCAGAACCCGCCCCACCCCCACCAAGCCTGATCCCAAGGGCCACATGGACACAGCAGACCCTTCGGGAGTCTGGGCTAAGGCTGCCTCTGATCCTGATATTCCAGGGCTACTTTACTTTTTCTGAAAGTTATTCTGAAATGGTTCACAAGCCATCATGAAGAAATGTACAGGGAGGGCCCGGGCACCCTTCACTAGGCCTCCCCGATGTTGGCAGCTACCAGGACTTGAGTGCAACCTGAAAGCCACGAAAGGGACATTGCAAAGGTCGCTCCGGTGGGCAGCCCGCCTTCCAACAAGCAGGCCTCCTTTATTTGGCTCTGCTGTCAGCACTCGGGCATTTCATCAATTCAGAGTCCTACCAAGCAAAAGATTCCTTGCACTAAGACTTAAAACAAAAGACAATCGTGTAATTTTCCAGGATTAAAAATAATACAATGGAACATTTGAAAAATGTTAAAGGACAAAACTGACATGAAAATCTCCAATTTCACACTAGGTGTAAAAGCAGTTTAGACAAAGAAAATGTAAATTGTCATTTTAATTTAGCTACGTTTTACCACCGACGTACCTTGGAAGGGTGCGGATTATCTGAAATAACAAGATTTTAGCTTTCAGTTAATTAGCCTTATTTTTACATGACCCTATATAACTTGTGTGGAGTTGCTTGAGACAGCTAGATCAAATTTATTTTCATTTAGTAGAATCTGTAACTATTGAGCAATCCATGAGTCTCCTTCAAGGAGGGGGTGCTGTCTGTCACAGAATTAGGGTCCCTACATCTCATGAAGGCCCTTCACAGACAGCTTCCTTCCACCCAGAACTTGCTGTCTCGTGTTTCAGAACTGGGTGTTTGAGAATCAGACTCATAAAAATCAAGTATCATTCAAAAAGGAGACAGTTACAGAAGAGAATCATCTCCACAGCATTCGGAGGGCTGCATGATAAGCTCTGCAGTGCTTTCAAATGATCTGGCAGCCACTCAGTGACACAGCCACAGACCGGGGTGATCCTCAGGAAGATCAGGCCCTTCTTATGAAGCAAACAAACTACAGCTCAGAAAACCTGACCTTAAACATTCACTACCTACTTTGTTTCTGAAAGAATTTTGCAATGTTTGAACAGGAATTTAGTGAGCATTTTCTCTAATTTGATTTCTGAAATTGAAGACATTTGCCTTTTTTAAAGCTTCCATCTGCCATTTAAGGGAGCAGCAATGTCCAATTACCTCATTTTCATCTCACAGATTACACACACTTAAGAAACAAGACTCCTTCCCATAAAGGAAGAAGATGCTTTCATTAAAGTAGGGGAGAAAAAGTCTAAAATTTTAGAGAGAACCACAGGAAGCACTAAAATCTGGCAAAGTTCATCATTCTGAGTAACAGGTTCACAAACAAGTGATTTCAGCCTAATCCACGTGATGACAGTGAGCTGCTTCAGGTAGCTGCATCAAAGTACTGTAACCCCAAAACTTGACTGAAGGCTCATAGGTCGAAAGCAGCTACCATGTAAATTACCATTTAGACTTCCGTTTGTATAAATAATTCCCCTAGTTTGCTTTCTACCACATTTCCTGGGGAAAACGTTTTAATATTCCTGGGACACTATTACTTTTATGTATAAATTATTTATTTATTCAGCAAAGGCCCACAAAGTACATTTGAAATGTCATTTGAAACCATTTGGAAAAACAGCATTCTTTACACTCATCTACAATCAGAACCATTGGAGGCTGACATTTCTCCGGGTCACCCACTGTACCTCTTCTCACTGTAATTCTCTCTTCTGGCAATTTTGGCCACATTTATGAAAATGCCAATGATCACGTCCAGCCTACCAGACAAACCCCTCCTCGGCCGGAGCGCCAGGACTCACGCAGCCACCTGCCTCCTGCACGGCTCTGTCTCCAGGGGCTGGCCTGCGGACTCTCACCACTCAGCTGACCTCCAGCAGAGTGCACTGCCTCCTCTTCCTCCCTCCTATCTGGGATCCCCAGCCCGCCTGCTGGCCCCGCCACCTTCAACCCGGTTTCGTTATCCAGGCTGGATTCTTCTCTCTCTATCATCCCATCTGTCTTCTTAACTGTATTCAGTCAATCAACTAATCCTACTGATCTTACCTTCTAGATCTTTCTCGAATGTCTCTCCTATCCCTCTCCATTGCCCCATTTCAAGTCCTCATCAGTATGCACTAACAAAGATTCCCTGAAATGGAATCCTGACCCCTGTCGCCCTAGTCATCTGTTTGACTAGAAATCTCATCATGTCACTTTCCTGCTTAACCCACTTTAAAGGACCCCCTTGTCTTCAGATAAAAAGCAACGCTTTGCTGTGAGGGCATGTGAGGTGCTACAAGCTTAGGCCCGGCCTTCCCTCTCAGCACCATCTCTGGCTGCCACCACCTTATTCCTCCCACACCACCCAAGTGTGCGACCTGCTCTCTCCACACTAGCATACACTGCTCCAGTTTGCCAAGAACATGTCTGCCTGGCTAACACTCCTACTCATCTTTCAGGATGTGCCTTCTCTAGGAAGCCTTCCTGGACTTAACACCCTTGCTTTTTGTTCTCTGGGTATCCTACACAGGTGCATCTGTATCGTATGCACCTGTGTGTCCCCATCACCCAGAAAAACTGCTCCTGCAGATTGATACTGTAGACTGGGGGGCTTAAATAACAAACATTTATGTCTCACTGCATTGGAACCGGAAAGTCCAACGTCAAGGAACCAGTACGCTGGGGTTCTGACCAGGACCTGCTCCTGGGTCCTCACATGGTAAGAGGGGGAGCTCAGGTCCCTTCCTGTGTCATCACAACACTAGTCCCTCATGGGGCTCTACCCTCCGACCTCACCTAAAACTTATCATCTCCCAAAGGCCCCATTGCCAAATGCCAAAACACTGAGGGTGACAGCTTCAACTTGGGAGACTATGGGGACACGAATATTCAGCCCATAAAGCGGGCCCTCTGTGAAAGGCTTCAAGTGGAGAAAGACAAGTAAGACAGACACCGTCTTTAAAGGAGAGGGACAGGGCCGCCTGACCAGTGCCCAGGCAGAGAGCAAAAGGCCTGTGCCTGAGGCTGCAGACAGAGCTGTGGGCTCAGAGGGTGCCAGGCTACTTCTGGGCAGGTGGCCCTGCAGGGATGCTGGAGGCATCTGAGCAACCTGGGCAGGACGACAACGACTTTGGACACGTTAGCAATGACAGCAAAGGCACAGACAGCAGCCAAACCCAGAAGGTGTGTGGCTAGCAGCAAGGGCGGCAGCCTCGGGAGGAGACTGCAGGGACATGGGGCCTCTGTGGGGAGACAGAGCCACCTTAGCAGTGACGAGGGAGGAAGTGCGATGGTTGGGGCAAGGGAAGGAGAGTCAGAACTGGGAAGCTCAGCGCAGGAGAAAGGAAGGAGGAGACACCCAAGAACCTGCCAAGGAGAGGAGGATCCTGGAATTTACCAGACTGTGGGCCAGGGGAAAGGCGTATTTGGTGAGGATCTCAAACATGTCCCTTCTGCTGTGGCCTTCCTGCTTCAACGCGAACCTCAAGTTCCTCATGTCCTGGAGGGTGGAGGAGAAACGGGACAGTTGAGTCTTCAAGAAAGTCATTCTCATTAGCAAAACAGCCTTCTGTTCACCTCAGGGCGCACGGCTCACTTACCTGAGAGGACAGTTAGCCAAGATTACAGAGCACATGACATTGCTTTGTGTGATATTTTCAAATGTCCAGCTTAGCATGCGAACACACCCTTCACAGTCAGGAATGCAAAGACAAAGCAACCCACGCTACAGAGAAGACAGAGCTAGAACTCACTCTGTATGAAGAAAACCACGCCTAGTCCTGCACGTCATCCTCTCTATCTACTTTGACAGTTTTCTGCGATCACTTTAATTCCTAAATAGTATTTTATTCACAGAGCTTTGTATCTGCTATCAAATATAATCTCAGAATCATCAAACATGTCACACAATAGAGATGCGACCCCCTCATGCTTTTCCTTTAAAGTCAGTTTCAAAAAATTAGCAAATGATTGGCATTCCAAGCTCACAAACAAGTAACGTCATGTATTTTTATTATGCAATTTCACTTTCAGGGAGTTCCATAAAAACCACAAAAAGTGCCCCGTGCTGGTAATGCCAACGCCTCCAGGAACTGAACATTAATGCTCAAAACCAAATTACGCAGGCACCTTCAGAGAGGCAGCTCTGCAATAAGCAGGGAAACCTTTTAGACTGAATCCGGGCAAAATAAGCCCCTACCTTTAGTATCAATTTGTATTACATAACAACATGGATAGCATTCTCTTATTTTCAAAGATGGAGTTTTTGAGGTGCCTCCAGTTAATCAAGGCACTGTGACTAAGAGCTGGCCGACCGTTAGAGCCTCCGCATGGGGAGTGAGACAATCAGGCCCTGCCCTCTTAGGTGTCACCATCTTCCTATTTTTCAAAGCCCTTTTTTATTTATCTTGCGAGCTTTCTTCACGCTTAAGTCTTCGGCATGAAGGTCCAGCAGAGGCCTTGTCAGCCACAAGTCACCCCAGAATGCAGGCAGCAGCAAAGGAAGAGCAGAAAAGAGGACTCTCGGGGCTTCCAGCGAACGCCCCACAATCGGCCACTGCATATAAAGATGGCTGCCCCGGAACCTCGCCTGCTCCAGGGGCCTGGGCATCCATTTGAAAAGCTAAAACCAAAACCCAATTGCCACGTGTTCCAAGGAAATGGGATACTGGCTGCTGGGTCATGGTGCCAAGCGCTAGTCAAGAGGAGGAGTCATCATTTCGATGATTCGAGAGTTTGCGGTGGGTACGAGGAGTCTGGGAGCTCAAAGACCCGCGGGGGACCTCCCTCCCAAGGGCCTGGGCTCACATGACGACTCGATGGCATCATTCTCTGACTGCTCTGCCAGAAACTGAACTATTTCTAGATAAATGTTTATTCTGGTCTAGCCAGGACTCCAACAACTACTTGTAATGTAATGTGCCAGAGCGCCAGGCTTCAGGCAACTTCTCACTATGTGACTCTGATATAATTACTGCCGCATCTTGCCAACGAGAAAGTCAATGTGGAAGAGACGACCGCAGCTGACACGAACTGCAAAGTCCCCCTGAAGTCTGAGTCTGACCTGTGGGAACGGACACCGGGGAAAAGCTGGTGGCACAGGCGCCTCGGAGCCAGACCCTCAACCTACTGGCGCCCGTGCGAAAAGAGATGAAGGAAACCCCCACCACGGACCTGGCACTAGACCACAGTTCGGGGTCACCCCAGGGGGGTTCCAGTCCAACCTTCGGGGCCTGGTCTTCAGAGGTGATTGTACTGTTGGATTTGGGGTAGAACCCAAAGGTCTACATTTTTTGTAAGCTTTCCCAGGTACCTGGGACTGAGAACCATTGAGACAGATGACCTCCTGGTCCTTCCAGCTCTTTCCAGGACTGGACATTATAGATTATAGTCTTTGATTTTTTTTAAGCCTACATTAATTTTTCATTCAACACTAATGTGCCTTTTTTTCGTTGTGGAAGGAAGTACTGGATCTCTTACTTTACAGGTAATATCTAGCCCATAGGAGTTCTCTCCTCTACTCGTTGCGCCTCCCATTTTTTCAATTCTTGAGATCACACCCAGAGGAACATCAAGTATCAGAGTAGAATCCTGTAATGGACAAAAATACAAAAGTCAGTATTTCCATCAGTTAAATAAAAACAACAAAATCATATCAAAGCAATCGTATGCTTTCAGGGCATTTGCCTCGGTCCTTTTATCGGTTTCTGAACAAAAACATGGCCTACACCACACATGAAAGCGAGCTTGAGAACAGTCAGTTGCGCAACCCAAACACACGCCAGCAATGGCCGCTGTGCTCTGCCTACCGAATGAAGACTGGCCCCCTCGGTCAAGGGCCCGGATGACCCTCCAGCCTGCTCCACAAGCGTCTCTCCCACAACCGTCTGTGTTCCAGCTTACGTTGTGTCTAAATCAGGCTATGTGCTTTGTAGGGGACAGGGGGCTCTCTTTGTCTAGGATGAGAGCTCTTTCCCAACTTCCAACAGTCCCACTGTGGCTTAAGCTGAGCAAGCTCCACCTCTAAAGAAGCTTGCTTCCCAGTGAGATCAAGCAGGATGGACCACACTTCCCGCTTAGGAGCTCTGCACTGGCTCAGACTGCGATTACACCCCTTCCTTCGCTGTCCTGTTGCCACTACAGCAGAGACAGCTCCACAAAATGGGTGGCACCATGTTCCCCACCCACTTAACTATGGGCGCAGCTGAATGGCCAGGCGAAGCTCTATGACACAGAAGGGGGGCGGGCGGGCTCTGGACACACAGAGGGGGACGCACAGAGGAGAGGCACGTGAGAAGTGGGCGAGCTTGCTTCCTGGCTCTGCACTTGCACCCGGAGCTTGGGGGACTTGGAGAAGACACATGCAGAGACACGTGGAGGAGAGACCGAGGGGGGGGAGGCAGACAAGGGCAGCCTTTACCTTGATTTGTACCATGACTTTGTTCTTTTCCTTCCATACTGGCCTGGCCCATTCTGCCCCTTTCCTATGTGTTCCTGCCAGAAGGTGCCTTAGACTTGTGGCAAGCTTTTGGGCCCTGGTGGCCCTGCTTTGGGCCCACCCTATTTGACTGGGCATTTATCCACTAGGGGATGGGTGATGTGGGGTCTTTTATTGGGACACAATATCCTCTCCTGCTCTCCATTTCTATGCACAATAATTCCATTGAAGTTCTTTCACACCAAGTATGTTTTGTCTTTGTGCACATAGATGGCTGGACCCCATTAGAGCCCACAAGCTTGGGGGTCCCAGGGCTGCCCTCTGTCTGCACATTAACACCATAACGTGGCATAACAGTGCCCCCACCTGAAACCGAGCATCTGAAGCAGTGTTATCAGGCACAGGAGGAGGGCCTGAGCACAGCAGTGCCTCTCCACTGTTTTGTACCCAGGCTGGGTGCCAGGGACCCAAAAGACAGCTGGAGTGTGGGGTCACCAGTGCAGTGACCCACTCTCCTGGCACCATGGGCGCAGCAGCTAGCCAGTCTGGAATGCCTCACCTGTGCCAGGTACTGCGAGAGGGGCTCTGAATGCGTCATTTCACTTTACCCCACGACCTTTGTGTAAGTGAATCGCTCCATCTCCACACGTGGCCTCAGGGCTATAAAAAGCACTGGCAGCTTGCTTAGTAAATCCTGGAAAGATGGAGATGCAAAGCGAGGCCTGGGGGCACACATTAAAGGGCCATAAAAAACAGCCCTGCTTCTTGTGCTGTAATTTCACTCTTAAGCGCGGATTTTACAGCTGTCGTTCATCGGGAGAAAAAGCCACACGCCTGCAGATGCTCACTGGAGCCCGAGGTGGACAGCAGGGTGGAGAAAATTCCACTTAGTCAACTCAATGGACTAAGCATACAGCTATTAGAATAATTACGGCACATGGAAAAATAAGTTGAAGTGGAGAAAAGGAAAAAGGCAGCACGCGAAACACACCGCCACCGGCTACCAGGGAAAGACGGGTCGCGGGGCAGAACGGGAGAGGCCACGCTGGCTGCTTAATCCAGACTTTTCTTTAAACGCTGTGTTAAGCGACTTCGAAAATAAAGAAAAAATGTGAAAGATGTTCAGTGAATTTTTTGTTCATTGACAATATGCCCTTGGAGGGGGGGAGATGTAAATAAAACGGTTTTACCTTAAAATGCAATTAAAAAAAACCAAGCATTTCTTTGTAAAATACGAATATAGCATGAGTTACACAGAAATTCAAGGAGTCTATGGCTGGAGGGGGCAGGATTGGAACGCTGCTCAGAGGCACACGCGAAAGAGGGGCCATGCGCCGCCCGGAAGCGTCCCAAGGGCATTGTGCCGAGTGGACAAGCCAGTCTCCAAAGGGCATGTACTCTATGATCCATTCGCAACATTCTGGAAATGACAAACCGTAAAGGAGACCAGAGAAGTGGCTTCAAGGAGGGTGAGGGGAAGGGGGCTGGGCGACTAGGGGTGCCGTGGGAGAGTTGTTGGCAGCGGCAGGGTGGCTGTGTGTTTTGACTGTTGGTGGCAGTTACAGGAATATACCAGGGGCCGACCGTCACAGACCTGTGTGTGTAACATGGAAAAACAAGCAGAGGAAAACCTGGCAAATTTCAAGTGTGCTCAGAGCCTTAGTTAACTCTTTGTGCTAACCAACTTTCCGGTTTTGACAAAATGGGCAGTTACTGGAGAAGCTCGACCTCCCTGCAGCATTTTCTCAGTTCTTGAGAGGTCACAATTCCCAGATTAAAAGTCTAAGAGGGTGGCCATCAAGGTGTAGAGAAAAGAACACAAGCCCCAGAGTCAGAGCATGCTGGCTCGGAGCGGCCCCGTGACAGTTAGTACCTGGATGGCCTTGGCAGCCATTGTATGTCTGAGCCACATGACCCTGTAAAGTAGGGGTGGCCAGAAATCACAGGCTTTGGCCCCGGCCCCTGGCGTGGCGCGGGTCACAGGTGCCAGCTGTCATTACAGCCAAGACCATTTCGGCCTCTGCAGACGTCACCGTGCCCCACAAAGAGTCACTCAGCGGGAATGGCGAGCACCTGCCGGGCTTTCTATTTGTACCTGTAAGGAGGCGTTTCTTAGCTGTTGCCATGGGGTGGGGGGGGGGGCGACACCTCCTGATGTGACTGAAAGCCAAAGCCAAGAGGAAAAAGCAATGCCCAGTAGCTACGTGCAGCATGCGTGCCTATATGATGTGCCTACTTCTCTGTATGGGCCAGTCATTACAAACATACAGCACAGTCTGTTACCGCGCCCAGATTGCATCGCGTCTGTTCAACTAAATTCCTAAATGCTAGGCTTAGGCCTAAAAATACAGACACTAAATAAAAGTCCAATACTCTAATATCAACATGGAAATAAGAATACAAAAAGAAAAAGCAAAAATATTAAAAACAAGACGTGCCTTGCTGGGAAGAATCAAAGGTGCTCTGGGTTTGGTCCCCAGTGTCAGCACAACCGTGACCCCAGCCAGAGACGTGAAGAACACAGGGGGGCTATGAAATGGACATTTTCAGTTTTAGGCCCACTGGGTGTGAGGTCACAATAAATGAATCAAATGCAAAGATCCAAGAGGTCGCAGGAAACACAGAGCTGGAAGAGCCCCCAGAGGCCCCTAAAGCTCGAGATGTCCAGAGCAAAACTCGCGGCAGGCACTTCTCTCTCCAAACGACATCTTCCTGCTCAGCGGCTGCCACTCCGTCTACCTGGACACAAAAGTCAGCACCCCAGAGTCATCCCGGACACCCCCTTCTCCATTATCCTTAATCCAGTCTCCCATGTCGACCTCCTAATCAACGTCTCCAACTCTCCCAGCAGTTTCTCTGCCCTCAAGACACAACAGCCTGGGTGACCTTGTACAAAAGCCAAAGCTGATGCCCTCGTTGCCCCACTTCAGCCACTGTCAAAGGCTCTCACTCTCAGCTCTACAAACTTAAATCCTTCACAGGGTGTACAAGGCCCAGGTCTGCCCCATCCACCTCTTGGCTCAGCCCTCAACTGTCTCCCCAGCTCCAGAGGGCCACGTGGCCATCTCTGCACGGCCCCTTTTTGTCACAGGGCCTCTCTCATGCTGCTCTCCAACCCAGGCCCCGCCAAGCACCTCGAGAAGTCTGACTCATTTTTCAGAGCACACTTAAGCATCGTTTTCTCAAGACCATTTCCCAGGCTCCTCAAAATTCTGGCCTCCTGAGCTGTTCCAGGCGCCTCTCACCATAGCTCAGGGTTCTCTACTGGAGCAACTGCCAGGTTACTGGCTGCCAGACCCGGTAGGACTAAGGCTGCACGAGGGAGCTGGCAGGACTGGGCTCCAGCAGATCCCGGCCCCTGGAGTGCACTCCACCGGTGCTCAAGCTGGCCGGGGTGGAGCAAGCTGGGGCCGCAGCTACGGAAGGAGGCGAGAACAGAACTGGTAGGAACAAAACCTGAAGTGCAGTGAAGGCAAAAGGCAGAAATGGGACAAGAGCCTCGATGTTCCGAGGAAAGGACATAGAAGGAAGGCGTCATCACCCTGGGGGCCGCTATGGAGCTGAAGGTCAGGGGACTCGCAAGGCCGCTGCCACAAGCAGTGACAGGGGTTCCAACAGGGAACTGAAGCCACAGCACAGGAAGTGAAGGAGTCGCTGCTCCGGAAGTGGCAGCGGCAGGCATCTGGTTTTCGGGAAGCCTGGCGGAGTAGAGGAAGAGCGAGGAGAGGAGTGTCAGGGAGCAGGGATACAGGAGGGGGCTGGAAATTCAGGAGCCTTGAGCAGAGGAAGACAAAGCAGCGAGGGGCCCAGAGGCTGCAGAAGAGAAAGGAGGAACTCAAGCAAAGGGCGGCGCTCTGGAAGAGACTCGAGCTGGGAGCAGAGGAAGGGATGGGTGAAGGCAGATGCGCTGCGCTGCCAGGAGATGTCGGGAGGTCAGTCTGAGATTCAAAGATGTGCCAAAGCAGCGGTCAGACCCCTTCTGAGGTCTGCAAGCTCGGAGTTGTGTGAAACGAATTCATTCCATCCACTCCGCTACTTTCAACTCACGTTTCTGGAAATTACGAATGGGTATGAGAACAGGGAGCAAAGGAACCTGGGGTTTCAGCAGAAACTGCTTTCTTAAACCTGCAAACAGCATTAATCTTGCAGCGGCAGCTGTTTTAGGACTGGATGTTTGAAAGAATCCGCAGAGTGTGGAGCCTGTGGTCCCAGCGCGGTTCTGCTTCATGGACGCAGAGGGAGGCCTTATTACTGCGCTCACTTTAGCATTATTTCACCTCCTTTAAAAGGAAGAGATGCCAGACGCACTAGGCAGAAGGACCTTGAAAAGGCCAATCCTGAACTGTCCCCACAGTATTTTCTTGAAATGGAATGCTTTTTGTTTGTGCTGGGAATGAGAAAGGAATTCCGGTCTGGCTGTCCAATGTCCACCTTCGGCTCCCTTCTGGGTGCTGGGTGAGCACAGCCAGTTATGGTGACTATGGACCCGAAGGCACCAGGCTGTTAGCTGCTCGGCACTGGGTGCCACGATACCTCACGCCTGTCAGAAGCAGGTGTGTGAGCCACGGAGGTTGATGGCCATGTGGGCTTCCATCCAGCTCGATTCTCCAAGTCCTGTCTCTCTGCTAGTAAGTAAACCATTAAAAATTAAAGGAAACAGACCCCATCACCCTGCCCCCTCACAGAACGCCTTTGCTGGGTAAGCTGACATGCGTGTTGTGTCTCTACCTGGGGCCTGAATGGTGTTCCACGACCGCTGGCTCGTGCTCTGCCTGGAGAACTGAATCACTATGCCTCTATCTTTTAGAGAAACCTTCACAATAAATTTCTCCATGAATTTAATCCAGGAAGAACATACTATTTCTGACTTATCACTGAAAGATGAAATGTATATTGTGCACGTTTCTCCTCTCAGCAGCAGTGCTAATCCTAGAAGCAAATTACACTGCAAAGGGTTATCACCTGTGGAGCAGAAGGTTTAAAAGCTCCCCATACTCCGGTCCCTGTCAAGGATGAATGCGTGGTGTGATGGTGAGAGACACCAACTTTTGAAAGGCGGAGTCCCTGAGGCGGGGGGATGGGGGGAGACCCTCACAGATGTTTGCTTCTTTCCAAAGTTTATCTTACCTGGGCGGTGGGCCCACAGATGTTTGTGGATTCTTTATAAACTTTATCCTAAATATTTTCCAAATCAATTTTAAAAGTGAGTGACCAGTAGAGACGGGGGGGGGGGGGGCAGGACGGCCATGTATTCTAGGTGGAGAAAGCAGGAAGCGAGAGGGGGAAAGCACAGGGCTTGTTGGGGGTCTGGACACTGAGAAACACCTCAGAGTGTGAGGACAGGGCCCCTGGGGGAGGGAAGACAGGTTCAGTGGTTGTAGAAGCTAAAGAGGGGAGGAGCCCCCCCACCAGGGTCTGTCTTAGGGAGCTAGAAGAAAGGTGTGGGGAGAAGCTGCAGGTGGCAGGGTCCAGGAGGCCGCTGGAGGCTCCTGGGAGATGGGGCTGGGGTGAAGAAGCCTTTGGCTGCGATGGGCAAATGTGGAGACCACTGCAGAGAAGGGTGACTGGAAGAAAAGTAGCACCGCTGACAGAAACAAGAGGGAACCGGGAAGAGAGCAAGTGCTGGAGAACCATGGCTTGGCAGGATTCTGGGCCACCAGATGAAGTGGAGGGAGCTGCAGCAGCCAGGAAGGAAGGAGGCGTGGCCAGGCTGCCGGCCCGGCCTACCTACAGTGTCAAGCAGGCAGAGCTGGTGCAGGGCTGGCCTGGGCAACTCTCAGGAGCTTTGCAAGTAGACAACTGTGGAGAAGTGACAGAAGGCAAGGGGAGCAGGAGGGAGAGAGTGTTGAGGCCAGGGAGCTGGAGAAGCTTCCAGCAGGAGGGAGCAGAGACACCAATCATACTCATCCTCCACAGAATCTGTTCTCCCGGGGGCCCCCAGGGACCTAAACCTGAACCTTGTAACCTGTAACACCCTCCCTTACTTCGAGATTTTTTCTTGCAGCAGTTTTTTTAGTGCTCCAACTGCCACTGCCCTCTTCTCCACTCCTCTTCTTTCGCTCCCCACCATGGACAAGTGTCCATGAGCCCCAGGGTTCTCTCCTCAGCAGAATCTGTGTCACATACTTGTCACGGTGACCTTGGGCACCAACAGCACTTTACTGACACGCTCACAACCACGCCCCAACTGCTGCAAGACTGTCCTCCTTGGCGAGCAACCTCCCTGCCGCCCGCGCAGCAGCAGGTCCTTCCCTACGGGTTACTTCCCCTGGGCCTCTCAGCATCCGATTCCTTTCCTGTAAGATCTCCTTCCAGGGAGGGGAGTTGGTCCAACCATTCAGGCAACAAAATCAGAGACAGTCTCACCTCAACAATCCCCTTCAAATCCCACCTCCAAGCAGCCCCGCTCGTCCTCCCATCTCTGCGCTGTTCCCTCGCTATCCCGCGGTGCTCTCCCGCTGTCGACTGTGGAGGCCCCTAGCACTGACCCAGACAACTCAAGTAACATCCTGGTGGCCTTCCCACTTCCTGCCTCCCCCTGTCCTGACCCACCATACAAGCTGCAGCTCTTCTCCTGAAACCTGCACCTGAGGTGGGCTCCGCCCGACCTGGGACCTCCCAACTGTGACCTGGGCTGGTTGAGGCCAGCCCTCCGCTGGCCTCGTTCTTCCCCTGGCCCGCACAGCCCTCTGCACCGGCTCCAGCAGCTCCCTCGGCCACCTTGCACATCCATGCAGACGGCGCCCTTCTGGACGTGGAAACTACCTGCCATGTCCCTCCCTCTGTGGCCCCTGCTGGCTGCGGCAGCTCGCCCAGTCTCAGCAGCGATGAGTCATCATCGCGGTGACTCATCCTCGTCCTGAGCTCAAGTTACCCAGCCACTGCAGCTCTGCCTAATGACTCCATGATTAGTCAGCCTCTCCCTGTCCCTCAGCGAGCAAAGCGTTAGCTCCACCACAGTGCTCACTGAATGTTTCCGGAATAAAGATAGGAGTGCAGGGCTGAGCAGAGGGTTCGTCTGTCCCGCTT